CGAGCCATACTCGGGACATTTTTCCGCGGGCCGCCCGGACACCTGGGCCGTGTTACGCGCTGCTGGCCGGCGTCGGGCGGCGCGGATCACCGCCGCCGCCCGGCTCCAGATGGCGGCCGATACGGTGCGCCGTTTTTGCGCGCCGGCCGCGGGTTTTGGCGCGCCGCGGCGCGCTTGCACGACCGGCGACGCATTTGTCACGGCCGGAGACAATGGTTTTCGCGGGCACGGAGACGCGACATTCCGGCGCGGAAAAAGCGCGCCGGCGAACGATGTTATCTGGGGCGGATTGTTTTTCGGCGCGGCGACGCGCGGCCACAAATCATTGGGCGGCGTCAGCAGCGGCGCGGACGACAGACCGGGCGGTGACGCCCGAGGAGTGGCCGGCCGCCGCCGCGCTGCAGCTCCGCAGGCGACGGCTGCACGGAATGCAGGCAGAGCGGGGAGGGTGGTCGCGTTTTTCATTGTGCATTTGGGATGTGCGGTCTGAAGGGTGTTTGCGCTCGGGTGATGGCTAGCGGGGTGTGACGTGAGGTGTTGACGAGGCTTGTCTTGAGGAAATCTTACTACTTATCAATTATACGAATCGCTTCGCCAATCTGAAACACCGCTTGAGGGTGCGGCGGCGTGACGTTGCAATCTTGAATGGACTGCTGCTCATAGTGTAAATATTGTTGCAACTTGCACTCTCGGGCTCTTCTGATCTTTACGGCTGCCGAAAATGTCCATTAGGTGTAGACCTCGTACACCGGGACGGCGGCATATGCAGACAAAACTGACCGTTCTCGCGCCGCAACACGCACGAATGTCATTTGAGCAGCACTAGCCGCCCTCCGCGAGCGTACGTCTGCTGCGCTCGCAGACCTGCAAGCTGTAAATCATCTATGGCCTACTTCCCCTACACTCGGAACGCCAATCCCGCCTCACATACGGCCTGTCCAGAGCAGCGTCGGATCCGTCCGACTGCGGACTGATGCAAAGTTGCCTCATCGGTTCATCTGCTGAGGCCGCCCGGTCGGTCGCCACCGCCCAGGACCGGAGCACTACAGACCCAGAGAGGTCACCAGCGCCCATGGCCTGAGCACTACAGACCCAGAGAGGTCACCACCGCCAATGGCCTGAGCATTACAGACCCAGAGAGGTCACCACCGCCCAGGGTCGGAACACTAGAGACCCAGAGAGGTCACCACCGCCCAGGGCCGGAACACTACAGACCCAGAGAGGTCACCACCACCCAGGGCCGGAGCACTCCACACCCAGAGAGGTCACCACCGCCCATGGCCTCAGCACTACAAACTCGGAGACGTCACCACCGCCCAGGGCCGGAGCACTACGGACCCAGAGAGGTCACCACCGCCCATAGCCTGAGCACTACAGACCCAGAGACGTCACCACCGCCCATAGAATGAGCACTACAAACTCGGAGAAGTCACCGCGTGACTCCACGCGCAGAGGACTGGGCGGGCGGCGGCTCGGACCAATGCTGCAAGATCCGAGCGCCGGAGAACGCCACCGATCGCCTCACCCCCACCATGCGACCCACCGCGAGTCGGCGCGGCGGCACTCTCTAGACGCGGCGGACGCCTCTGGCCTGCACAGACCCGAGTGTCCACAAACAGACACACCCCGTCCGCAGGGCGTCAGCGGCGCCTCCCTGCCCCGCACCGGCCGACGCCGGCCGTCCGGGGACGGCCGGCACGCTTGGCAGCCGCCGCCGCCGCCAGACACGTCACCGATCTCGACCGGGGGCGCGCGTGTCCGGCCGGCCGCCAGCGCCGCTCCACGCCGTCCCTCTGGCGCTCTGCCGCGGCCCGCGCCAGCCGAGCCGGGTGGGCGCGGGCCGCCCCCGACCGCCGGCCGGCCGCCCGCCGGCCGCCAATCATCGGCGCCGGCCGCGCCACACCGACTGCGCCGGCCGCGCCTGTTTACACTGGGCCGGTCCGGCGCCCGCAGGAATGCTGACCGGGCCGCGACCCGGCGACCTCGCCGACCGCACGCATCCGGCGGGCCGCGGCCGCTCGGCGCCGCTCAGCGGCGGGACAGGTGACCGTCTCCAGTCCAGCCGTCGGTCGGAACGGGGGCGGACGTGGTGACGGCGGGTGGCAACCGCGCTGCAAGCGCAGCTTCCGACAAAGCCGCAAACCATAGCGACCATCCGCTGGTGCTCGCATTCATCTCAGCCTGGCCACAACCGGCGGGCACAATCGTCGTAACCACAAACTGCCAGAGCCGAGCTCCACCGCAGCCGCAACAAGACAAACGGCCCAAGTGCAGCTGTAATCGCATTTTCATGTCTCTGGTCGTGAGCCCTTCGCCAATTTCAGAGCTCGTGACGGACGCCAACCAGCAGGGTTTGAACAGAAGCAGGTTCATGACCCACCCGTAGCCGTCAGCACCGGCCGCCCGACAACGCAGCGCCGGCTCCGGAACGGCCACCACCGGCCCGACCCGGGGCAGAACTCCGAACGCACCGGCGGCGGCGATGCGCCCCGCGAGCGCGCCTGAATGGACGGCGCGGTGCGGCTGACGGGCGGCGCTAACCAGCGCCAGATGCGGCCCGCTCTGGCCGGCGCAAACCGGCCGCGCTGTGGCCGCGCCCGAATGAATGAGCGTAACGCAGCGAGCAGCGGGCGCAGGTGTGCGCGCCAGATGCGGCCGCGCCGGCCGAGGCTGTGGTGCAACACCACCGGCCTCACAGTACCGGGGCCGTCCGCTTCGCCAACAACGGTCCTCATCAGTTCCCACCAATCGCTACAGCTGACCTTTCAACCCCGCCTCGCCGGGGATCGAGCCAGCCCTGTGCACAGGAAGCGCTGCCCGACGCTCGGGCGGCCGTGGGAGCGGGGTGGCAGCGGCGCGCCGCCGGCCCGGCCGCCTCGGCGCCCCCCGCCGGCGCGCCGCGTACCCGGCAGCGGAGCTTCCCGCCGCTCATGAGGCGCGGCCCGGCGACGGCCGCGCCGCCCGGTCACGTTCACAGCGGCGGGGCGGCCGCGCTGCGCCTGCCGCGATGGATGCGCGCGCCGGCAGGCTGATGACTATAGCCGCGGCGGGGGCGCTGCAAAAACGGCGGCGCGCGCGGCGCGTGGGAACGCCGCTGCGAGCCCCACGCGGCTCTGTTTACACGGCCTCACCTGTGCCGGTGACCAGGGGAGGTCGCGCGATCTCCGCCCGGATACCGGCAGTCACCCGACAGCGAGCTTGTCGGGGCCTGCGGCCGACCGGGCCCGACCCTCGTCATGACGACCGCCAGAACATGTCCCGGTCGGGCCTCGTCGCCGGACGACACGGGACGGTTCCAGCCGGCAGCATCTCTCCGGTGCGACATGACAGCACTCGCCTGTCTGCCATGACCGAGTGCGCTCCCCAACGAGCACCGCTGGTCTCTGGGGGCGGCGGCTGCCGTTCTGCCGGGGTCGGCCGCCCGGCAGCCGGAGCCGGGACACCGGACGGGGTTCGGCGGCGGGCCGGTCACCGCCGCCGCCTGCAGCTGATGAGGACGTCCGGCTCCGGCACAGGCGCCGGCGGCGACAGTCGGCCCCGGGCGACATCGCAGCGGGCCGAGGCGGAGTCAGCGCGGGTAACAGGCCCACCTGGGGCCACCCAGTGACTCAGGGGCCCACACGGGTCACCCACGCGACGACCGATCCCCAGGGTGGCATCGGCCCTCCCGTCGATCACCAGCCAGCGGGCCGTCGCCCCTGGATCAGGCTCACGTCGGCGCCACGCGCCCGCATCGGCCACAGCGCTGGCGATCCGGACAAAGCCCGCTTGGCCTCAGGGGCGTCTGGTATAGGAGAGGGGTCCGAACCGTGATGAGCGGACCAACTAAACCCAGCCGAGCAACGGTTGACGTCCATCTCGGTCCAGCCCGCCTCCGCCCGCGGGCGGTGTGCCGGTAAGAGGGGCCAACAGACCGACGCACCGACCGGGCCCCGTGCGGAGCCGGGGCCGCTGGAGGCCGGCCGCAGCGTCACGAGGTGCCGCCACTAAGTGGATTAGTAGCGGCAGTCGGCGGCGGCCCGCTGACCGGCGGCGAGACGGTGACTCACGCCGCACCCGGCCAACAGGACGGCAGAGGTGCACAGGAGGAAACAACGGCGACATCTGGCGTCCGGACGCCAACTACAGTCTCGCTGCAAAGTCACCAGGAAGTCCTTGGAGCGGCCCGGGAGTGCACGGACGGCACACGACGGTTGAAAACTGTCACTGTGACGCGACGAAATTCAGTTGCATGGGTGATTCAAACGGTTAACTGTAACTTCTTCATCAAATTATACCGTACCTCACATTCACAGTGGTTCAGGCGTCGTCGTTGCCTTCACATGAAATATTTGGTCGTAACATTTTGGTGAAAAAGTGCTGCGAAGGAACCGCACATTATTATAACGTTCTTACAAGTTCCAGCGCCATATGACATTGCCGGTGCGCCCCATAATTTGACCAAGGCAGAGTTCTCTCACCATCTTTTGAATGGGGCCAACAGAGCACCGCATCATGATGATCACATCACTGTATCCAAAATATGAAGTGTGAGCTTCGAAATGGAGGCAGGAGCGAAGTGCCGGCTGAAATCTCGCAGTCGCAGTCGACCCCACACCACTTCAACTTACCCCGAGATAAACTTAAACTTACCCCGATTTGGAATTGAGGTCGAGACACATTGTCGGCCCCACTCCGATCCAATTTCACCACGCTAAGCTCGCCAGCCTGTTCCTTTCATTTCCGGACTCGCGCTGATTCTCTTTGTCCACCCGCCCGCGGCTGTCGGCGCCCGCCGTACACGGCCGCACGCCGCCAAGACGGACGCACAATGTGGCTTCCAGCATTGTGCGTCAGTCCCACAATGTGGCTTCCCTCGCGCCGATCAACAGACCGTGTCTCACTTCACCAGTCGGCCGCACCCAATAGCTGTGCTCGAGGCGCCTTCCAGCGCCGGACACGCGCGTCCCGTCCGTGGTCAGCGAGTCACCCCCGCGGGCGGCGCCCGGCGAGGGACTGACCTCGGCGTCGACGGCCTGGTAGTCGGGGTGGTCCTCGTCCACCTCGAAGTACAGCTCGTTGGAGGTGATGGAGATGGTGCCGGGCACCACCAGGCCGGGCGCCATTAGCTGCGCCGGCGTGCTCATGTTGACGGGACCTGCCGCACCGCGGCGCCACCATCAGCGCCGCGGCCGACCAGCGTACGCCGGCGCGGAGGGACGTCGGGTGGGCAGGGCAAGCTCATGACAGGCAGCAGATCGCATTTCAGTCGTCGCTACAAGCAGCTTCGACGCGGAGATTTCCGCCATGGTGGCGATGCTGTTGATCCCAGCTCTGCCGCGCATCCAGCAGTCTGACATCAAGGACGGCGCCATGGGGCGGGGAAGTTCGGCGCGCAACGCTGCGTAAGGGCGAGCCTCTGTGGACAGTCACGCCAGGGGACCGGGCACGCTCGACAGCAGGCAATGGAAACGACTGTGAACTGGGGCGTCACCGCCCACAGTCAGCGCCGCTGCTGGCTCAGGCACACCTTGACCCCGCCGCGGGCCCGCAGCGGTGACGCCAGCGCTCACGAGTACGCCCGCTGACGCCGCTCAGGCGTCAGGCGCTGGTCTCACCGGCGATGTCGCTGTCGATGTCGCGGTCCTCGGCGGAGACGTCATACTCGTCCTCCGATGACGTGGCGCTCTGCTGGTGACGTCGCTTCAGCGTCACGTGCGCGTGGAACTCCTCCTGCGCCTGTTCGGACGGAACAGAGGGGCGGTGATCAGCGGTGCAGAAGAGCCACCAGCCTCACTGGCCGAGACCACCCGCTAGTGTTGGAGGCATGCTCACATGACATCCTCCGAAGGTAGGCGAATCCCAGGCTCTCCAACATTCACCGGCTCCGAGACTTCAAAATTAAAGATCGGCCTCGCTCCAAACGCCCACAACGTCCCAAACACCACACAAAAACCCCAACCCATACATAAAGCCACTCTTTGTGCTTGTCCTCGCGGCCGCACCGTTCGCAGTTGAAAACTCCGTGGCGACTGCACGCCCGCTTCCATCGCGCCTGTCTGCACCGGCCAGCCAACACCGCGCCACGGCCAGCGGACCTCCCCGGGACCCGAGGCGCCGCCCACCTGCTGAATGGCATCCTCTGGCGCGCCGTGCTCCAGCGCGGCCTTGAGCGTGGCCTCCGGGTGGGAGGAGCCGTACGGGTTCGGCACGAGGCGGCGACGCCGGCGGGAGTCGTCCTCCCAGGCGTCCAGCTTCCAGAACTTGAGCCTGGCGGGCGAGCGGGACACGGCCGTCAGACCGGGTCATCGGGCAGAAGGGGGGCGGCACCGCCCGCGAGGCGTGCACTGTTACTGGAGAATACCCCGCGCCAGGTTCAGGGCAGCCACGACACACCTTAAGGCAGTGCGCAAGCGGGGAGGGGTTCGTGTCTGAATGACGCGCATTGGCAGAGTTCGTCTGGACTACAGCCAGGGAAGGGGTCATCAGACTGGGAGCAGGTGCTCCGTAATGGCCAACTAGGGCAGGGCGTGGTCTCTCAAACTGGCTGATCAGGAACGTCGTCCACGGAGCCCACTGTGGGCAGCGCCGGACGCGGCTGCCGCCTGACACACCAGACACACCAGCGCCCAGTGACCGCTGATCCGGGCAGGACTCACTCTCTCACGGCCGTCACGCCACCTCCGGAGGCGACCGACCTGGACCCGGCTGGGGCCCGCTCCGACGGTCACCCTTCCCTCCCCACCGCCCCCGGCGACGGCAGCCTGACCTGGGCAGGCTGGGGTCGTCGCCCCAGGCGCCGTGCTGACTGGCCACCAGGTTGAGCACGCGCTCGATCAGCCGGCCGGCGATGACCGAGTCGCGGCGCCGGGCGGCCGTTATCAGGTGGTCGCACATGCGCTCCTCCTCCTGCCGCGTCAGCACCGTCTGCGCGCACGCCGACTGCCGGCAGGCGGGCGGCGTCAGCGCGCGAGCAACGCCCACGGCTGACGGCGGCACCGCCAGACACTCTCGGGGCAGACTACATCCGAGACGTGGGGGCCACACCAGCGTCGAATACCGGGCCCGGGTACGCCGGCTTGACCGCAGTACACTCGTGTCCCAATCGCTTCATCAAACCGCCACAACACATCACGCCAACGGTCAGCGATTACGTCTCGGGTGTTGCCATCGCACTAACGTCAGCGACTACCATGCGCCAGTCCGGAGCGGTGGCGCCCGCTCGGCGCCGCTCCGGCCGGCGACGTCGCCCGCCGGAGCCGTACCTCGAACTCGGCGTGCTTGAGCACGTCATCCGCCCGCATCCGGTTGAGGATGAACTCGGCCTCGTTGGCCACGCGCACGATGTGGTCCTTCATGGCGTGGGAGAGCAGCCTGGCGGACGACCGGCGCGCGGTCACAGGTCGCCCGGCGGAGTCGCGAGGACGCATCACACGGGCGGCCGAGCCGACGCAGCGGCCAGGGAGCAGGGCGTCCGAACAGCTCATCGGGAAAACAGCGATGATTCGAAATTGCGGGGCAACGACTGGTCGACCTAAACGCAGCCAACGAAAACGTAATAATTAAATAAACTTAATGAGTCCATGAAATTTAATGATTCCATAATGGAAATGTTCATAGGAATTCATCGTGTCCGCAATCACGGCTGGGGCCAGCACGAGCTAGACTTCGGGACGACGCATCACATGGTGCAGGGAAGAGTCGACGTGGCATGTGGCCGTGGCCTACAGCATCGCCGGCAGCAGACGCGCTGCCACGGCGGCCAACCGACCTGCCCTCGTTGATGAGCTCGATGAAGGCGAGGCCGGCGTGCTTCTGGAGCGAGTTCTGCCACTCCTGCGAGCAGAGCAGCATCACCAGCTCCACCACCGACTGGCCCGTCTTGAAGGTGGCCATGCCTGCGGAGGGGGACGGCGGCGGCGTCAGGCACACCGCTCGCGCCGGCGTCCGCCAGCTGTCCGGTACAGCGCGTGACCGGGTCCTGACGTGTCGGCGTCAGCCCGGGAGGAGCGAGGGGACGCGGGGTAGCGGGGACGGGGTCGAGTATTGACTTGGTGCATGCGTCACTGGATCGGAACGTTGAACTCAGGGGCGACTGTCAATCGATGGGTCAAACAACGCATAGGCGTGTACACAAACACGGATCCGTCGCCTTACACCGGTCATTTCTCCGAGGCCGCACCGTCCAGCCGCTCGAGAGGCGGCGCCCTCCGCCCCACCCACCCTTGCCCTCCGAGAGCAGCTCCTGGCCGTGGCTGCCGATCAGCGTCTTGCTGAGGAACGAGGCGAAGTCCACCATGATCTCGCGCAGCAGTGGCGAGATCGAGCTCAGCGCCACCTCCAGCTTCAGCGTCAGGTTCGCCTCGCGGGACGGCGTCGGCAGAGGCACCTGGCGGACACCAGCGGAACGGTGAGCCAAGCTCAGGCGGGCGGCGCCGCGCCACGACCGCGCTCAGACCGTGCACAATCCTACCGAATCAAATTTCCAACCAAATTGAAACTAGCATTCAGGTGATCGAAGGCTAAACGCCGCGTTCTTTTCTCACCACGATCCGATGGCGTAAGCGCGTGATTTGCGACTGGAAATACGACGTCTTGCCAGGCGTTCTCGGTGCTGCCGTGCTTCTCTGGCTATTTTTATGCATGTTATCGTAAAGAGCTTCCACGGACAGCCACATCAAACCCATGCAAGGTGTGTCCTTTTAGCCGACCGGCACCATAGTTCACAGCTCAAGAATACGACCGGCACACAACGAAAACATTTGGACAATATGATGCACATACAACCCGTGATTACGGTTTACATATGCACCTGAGCAAATGTCCACAGCGGGATGGCAAGACATTGCACTTGGAGCATGGTGCGCTAATACCAAACAACCCAATCCGCACACCCAGTACGCACCTCCTGAACAAAGCCCTTGATGTGGAGATCCTCGGGCCGAGCCGGACGGAATTCTGATTGGACGGTCTGCGCCGAGGCGGCGCTCTGATTGGCCGCCGTAAAGTGGGGCGAGCTGCTCACGGTTGATATCTCCTGCACCGGCGCCGCGGCCGGCTCTGTACGGACACCCACGCCCTCCGTCATACTGATGCTCGCATGCCCCGCGTGCAAATATTGTGGTCACTGGCAGAGCAATGTGTCAGGCCGACAGCAGTTGGACGTTGAAGAAGAGGCTGGGAAGAGGCTGGGTTACATCCCTGACTCGCGACCTCATGTCAAATTCGAGTAACGCAGCTCGGGACTACATCCGGGGCCTGAACACGAAGACAAGCAGGACATTCTGGCAATGCATCGGCACTTGAAGCATATGGAGCACTGCTCTGCGTAAACCCACTAACAAAGCTCGGGCCCGGATCGTTCCGAAAAATGGTGTCAAAAGATACCCCAAATGGGAGCCACGAGCGACCCGTGCCGCTGTCTCCGTCCGACGCGCCCCATCCCAAACACGCAGCCCACCCACAGACCGGCAGCCAGCAGCCCGGCGGCGGCGAGCCCCCGCCTGCCGGCTGCGCCGTCGCCGTCACTGACCGTTGGTCGGCCGGTCGTCGGTCTCGTTCAGCTGCACGTCCGACCACTGGCGCTCGTCGCCTGGTGCGGCCGGCCGCCGCCGCTGGCTCCGGCTCCGGCTCCGGCTCCGGGTCGGCCGGCCGGCCGGCGGCGCGCGAGGACCGGCCGCCAGCCTGCGGTGCCGCGCCGCCGCCGCTGTCCGCCTGTGGTGCGGGCGGAGGCGCCGGTCGGCCCGGTCACGGCTGGCCGGGGGCCGGGGAGGCGCCGGGGCGGGGAGAAGCCGACCAGGCCGCGCCGCAACGGAACGGAGCAGAGCAAACACGTGCGCTGAACTCAAAACAGGCAGTCGAGGCGCCGGGCTGAGACACCGATGAATGGATTTGGGAGGGGGGGGGGGGGGGGCATATTATAGTCGACTTCGTGAGCAGCGCTGAAGACTGCTTAAACAACTGATAATCTCACATGTTTGTAGCTGAAAAACTGAATCCCTGTCGATGGACGTTACGATTTAAGGCTTCCTTTGTGTTAGACTATTGCATCCATCGACCCTGGGTAAGTTGGTCATACAAGAATTTCACGTTTTCGGGGCAGACTTAACAACGCCAAATACCCATGTTGCATGCATTCGTACCGTAAAAAACCTTGGAATCAAGGCAAATGATCCATATTCAGTAGCAACTACTGGTCCACAAAACAAATTATGCAACGCAATCACCTCAACCAAGTCGTCTTCAAGCGGACAGAACGCTAGCCAACCGGCATCCCCTGAGAGCGTGTCAATCTCAGTATGCTAATGCATCATCAAGCCAAGCGACTGCGTTCGACGGCGTGCAATACCTCTTCCGACAATACATGCTATCGTTCTGGCATATCACCCTCCCTACGGACTCATTCTCAAATAGCATGAGCGTGAGGACGAGCCGCCGGCCCAAATAGTCCCCAGCGCCGGAGGCCAGCGGCCTGCTGCCGGTCGGCCGGGCGCGGCCGGCTCGGGGCTTGGCGGCGCGCGAGCACACGGTCCGGGGGTCGGCGGCGGGACGGGTCCTCACCTTGGCTGCCGGCGGCGCGCCCGCCTGGTTCGCTAAAACGGACGGGTTGCCCTCGTCAACGACAAGCACGTCTGCGACGGGCTGCTCGTCGCCGCCCGAGGGCCGGTCCGGGCCGGCCGGCGCCGCTGTGCGCAGACGGGCGACGGTCAGCGGTGGCATCAGGGCGGCGGGGGCGGGGGACACGGCACGTGAGACGACACGAACGGCGGGGACATGGCACGTGAGACGACACGAACGGCGGGGACATGGCACGCGACCGGCGGGGGACAGGGCACAGTCACATCACTCCATGGCCGCAGCGTCTTACCCGTGCCGACGCCGCCGCTGGAAAACATACGTTATCACCTTCCAGTCATCACACCGAAGGCGGACGCCACATGTCAGCCTGTCCTTTCCGACACACATAAACGCAGTACACTCCGACGCCGACCAACCAGGACGGCGAACACTTCAGCCACGCGCCATGGGGTGATCTCATCTGACAATGAGAATGCTTTCTGCGGTACTGTTCGCGTGTTAGGGATCCGCGGCATTACCCCAGGCCACCGGCGCGTCTGGTTTGGCCTTCAAACGTTTGGAAGGCGAGGATCCGCGAGCGGCAGCTCTGAACGAACATGGCATCGGGGACCTGTTAATGACCACGGACAGGAAGTCAGCGACCTGGCGGTCGGTCGGGGAGAGGGCCAGTGACCTGGTGATTTGTCAGGCAGAGGGTCAGTGACCTATTGATCGGTCGGGAGAGAGGGTCAGTGCCCTGGCGGTCAGTCGGGGAGAGGGTCAGTGACCTGTTGATCTGTCGGGGGAAGGGTCAGTGACCTGTTGGTCTGTCGGGAGAGAGGGTCAGCGACCTGGCGATCAGTCGGGGAGAGGGTCGGTGACCTGGCGGTCCGCCCGTGAACCTAACCAGAGGTCTGAAGGCCAGTCCGGATGAGGCAGTCCGTAACCTGGTTGTCTCCCTGGCTGGGTCAGTCAGTTGGCACCCTGTCTGCAGAGGGATCAGGCCCTGGCAGTCGCCCTGGACGGAGGCGAGCTGCTGGACTCTCTCGGGTGAGACCCAGCACTCCCGTAGCCTCCCCAGACATGTCCGACGGCTCATGGGAGTCGACTGACCGGACGCGCCTCGGACGGCCACCATGTTGGACGGCTCCAGGATGTCGCGGTACTTGGACACCATCAGCACCGAGATGAAGTAGATGCCGGCCAGCGACAGGAACTGCGCCTGCTTCGTCTCCTCCTGCCGGTCCGAAAGAGGCCGCATCATCCTACTGCTGATGCTGCACATGTCACACCATCACTGCCGACGCAGATCCAGGCATGCGGCTTCTAAATTTAATCATGCAATGGAGCAATTTTGACACCGGTTCTCTCTAGACCTATGCTACACACATGCATCCAGGCTTCTAATTTAGGGCTAACTACGATGTCACACACTGCCTTGGAGTACGCGTCAGTCGAGCATCTGCGCATGGCTCGCGTTCCAGCCGGGGTTCTGCGAGGCGCGCTGGGCGACGGGCCTTTCCCCCCGGTCCGCAGCCTGCTCACCACATCTCTGTAGACGATGGCGCGCAGCCGATTGACGTCCATCTCCTGCAGCAGCTTCTCCGGGTCCCGGACGGGCGTCACCACCGAGTCCGGGTCTCCGGTCTGAGGGGGGGGGGGGGGGGGCAGTGAACGGTCAGGTCCGACACCCTCCCAAGGTCAGGGACGGGCATCGCTGCCGAGCATGGGTCTTCGACTTCAGGCAGGGCGCAGGGCACGGCCACACGTGAAACCCTTCCGTGCGCTCTAACAGGGGCACCATCAAGGCCCAGTCCTCCTTCTGCCGTGAGAACGGATGACGGGATTGTCTGGCTCCGATGCGTCTCGCCATCCTCGCTAGCGTTCGGCCGTTGCGACATCCAGAAGCGCGAGGTCATCTATCGCCAAGCTGAGGGCTCAACACCGAACGCAGTCCTCAGCCCTTCGCAATAAATACAACTAGGTCCCTCAGAGCATCACACCTTATCATAACACACGACATGACATGACATGACATCAGGTCACATCACACCTCATCACCGTAACCACGCTCGGCAGTAACCCTCCAACCAGATCGCTCCGGTGGGGGGACCGGCGGACTGGCGGACCGGCGGACCGGCAGACCAGCGGACCGGCAGCGGGACCGGCGGACCGGCGGCGGGACCAGCAGACCGGCAGCGGGACCTGCAGACCGGCGGACCAGCGGGCGGCGCTCACCGTGGCGAGGATGGGCACGTTCTTGAGCCCGGTGATGAGCAGCTGGATGGTGCGGTTGGGCTTGACGTCCGGGTGGCGCATGAGCCGCTCGCGCTCCTTGCACTCGAGACAGTTGCGCACGGCTGCCGTACACACCTGCGCCGGAGAGTAGGCCGGTCAGGGCCGCCGCGGACCGACGCACGCGCCACTCACCGGCGGGGTTTGGGGTTGGCCTCCCGCCGAACGCACCTTTGTCGTCCAAACTGTTTTAGCTACGTGCAGCAAGGGTCGATATGTTCCACTCCCTTTTACTGCACTAGCTTCACCTATTCCAGGATCCATGTGGCTTGTTCTGAATTGTCATCCGAGAGCAACAAGGCATCTCTTCAATTACCGAAGGTAACCCCCCGTACCACTATTCAATGCACAGCTGCATTTCATGCAACCGCTTCATGCAACACAAGGGGCGGACTTCCAGGCTTTAGAGGACGGTCTTTAGGGTGCACAGATGCACATATCAAACGAGTCTTTTCGTCGCGTGACATCAAAACGGATGCCCTTTAAACGTGGTCTAAGAGAAATAAAAGAAATAGGAAAATGGGGGAGGAACGGAAGCGGAGAGATAGTTAACTTATCCAATCTCAGCATAAAACTGTCATACTGATATCGCCTTTGATGAAACGGAATGACAGACAACGCGGGCAAAAGATCGAGGCAATAGTTTTCAACAGCCAACTTGAAAAACGCCCCAAATCAAAGCCTGCTCTCACCCCCCCCCCCCCCCCCCGACCAAGCAGTCTGCGCCTCCGGACGCTCCTTCGCCGGCCGGCGCCGCCTGGCCGGAGTCGGGCCGCGAGCGCTCACCAGCCGCAGACACTGACGCAGGATACCGCCGCTCGACATGTTCTTCTCCACCTCGAGCTCGGCGAACGAGATGCAGCTGGCGAACACGAGCGCGTCGGCCAGCCCCACCAGCCGGTGCAGGAAGCCGACAGCCACGTCCACCGACATGCCCTGCGTCGGCTCCAGCACGTCCAGCTCGCTCTGTGGCCACGACAGAGATATAGGTCAGTAAAGCTGCGGTAGAGAGGTCTGGAGAAGTTACTTTGGATCTGGAGAGGTCGGCGTGGCTCTGGAGGGGGTAGCGTGGCTCTGGAGAGGGCGGCGTGGCTCTGGAGAGGGCGGCGTGGCTCTGCAGAGGGTAGCGTGACTCTACAGATGCACAGCGCAGGCCAGAGGCGTGTACAGATTGGCCTGTAGCGACCGGAGCAGTGTCCCAGGTCAGCAGAGCTCAACAGGCCGCCCTGGGTCGCGGAGGTCATGCCGTCTGGTCATGAGATTGTTCACTGCGGTGCGGACGGTGGTGACGCCAGTGGCAGAAACGAGAACACAGCGCACGCGCTGGTACATCCGCGTGTGAAGCCCCAGCAACTACCATCGCCCGGTTACCGCCCCGGGGCTACCGCGCCGCCCGGTGTCGAAATAGGACCCTCTCATGTAGGAACGACTGGTCTCAGCCACTCGCTGAGGGACACCTCCCTCAGGGGACGCCCCATGTCAGGGACGTCCAGCGGTCCCGACACCCAGGGTCGTCCCCACGAGGTGCTGGCCCCGGCCGCTGAGCGCCCTCGCCGCGCCTCACGTTCGGACTGGTGGCGGCGGCCAGCAGCGGCAGCAGACCGCCACACGCGATCACTAGGTTGTCCGCCAGCTGGGAGATCAGGTGCACCGTGTTGATGACGAAAATGGCGTTGTCGCTGTTGTTGACGAAGTCCAGGATGCTCTTGTTGGAATGTCTGCCGGCCAAGAACGAGCATTGGGACACAAACAGAAAAGCTTTGCGTAGGTGGACCGTTAGTGAGAACGTACGCCGCTTACAGCAGGTGAGCCTCTCATGCTCCTGGAAACGGTATTTTGTCATTACTTGTGCACTGAACTGATACACAACCAGTACGCATGCGTATAGCAAACGCACACGAAGTTACGCTTCACTCCGCGCCAAGTAATATACTCGTTTGACATCTACCTCTACGTGAAGACCAAACATTGGTAAGCTGTCCATCGACACTACACCCCTCTACAAAGCCGTCACATAAAGCGGCCCGGTGCCGTGCGGCGAGCGGGGTGCGGTCGCCCCCCCCCCCCCACCCCCTTCCCCGTCTCCGTCCGGCGCGCGGGCGCGACCACTCACTGTCGCCACTGCTGGATGTCGTTCTCCAGCGAGAGCAGCACGTCCGACAGCAGCCGCTGGTGGATGTAGCTCCAGCGAAACTCGGGGATGCGGAACGGCGGCCGCGAAGGCCCCGGCGAGAACATGGCACGTGACGGGCCCTTGCCGCCGGAGCCTGCCGACAGCGCCAGCCGGCCGGCGTCCGTGGCCGTCACCGCCGACAACGCTTTCTCGTCGCCGCCTAGGCAACCCTGCTCCCATTAGGTGTTCGCGCCATCACGCATTACATTGCCTCGCTTCATATCGATTCAGCCGTCAGCGAAGGGTATGGCTATGGCCTTCGGCTGGAGGGGTAGCATCGGCGCGCTCCGGAAATGGTGATTTCAGTAGGCAGTACGAACACGACAGAGACCAGGCAGCCGACTATAAATACTCATCACTCGATAGTACGTCACTCGGCCCGAGCCGCTCCCGAAGCCGACGTTACGAGCCGTGAGCTTATCCAATAGCCGCTCGATGGCGGACCAAGCCAATAACGCTGAAAGGGTCCTCGCCAACGCAAGTTCGCTTGCGAGCCATTGACCGTTACGCCCGCCAAAGCACGCGGAACAAACTGCAAAACACAGGTCACGATCCAGTCACGCAGTACATGGACTTCACTAACGGGAGGCGGAGTTTCATACAACCAACAGAAGTCAAGTCTGCATTAACAAGCCAGTACTCAGTGCCTTGTTAGTCTTTATCTCAACAAAATGAAGTATTTCTTGCGTTGTCGAAACTAATAAGTACTTTTTGACTTGTTGAGTTTCAAACGGGCTTCCAACACCACCGTGGAGGGGAAAGGAACACTCACAGAGATGCGAAACTCCACCCCTAGCCACGACACCGCAACCGTCAGCCACGAGCCCGGCGGAGCTAGCGAAGCGAGCCGCCCAGGGCGGGACAAGCCGCCGTCACCGGGCCGGAGCCACCGGCGGAGCTCACCTGGCCGCGAGAGCCGCTCGCTCTTGCCGCTGCTCTGCGAGACGCTGCGCGCCACGCCCGGCTTCACCTGGGCGTTCCACTTCTTGACGCACGCCTCCTCCGGCTGGCTGCCCAGCTCGGGCACCTCGACGCTGTCGGGCACGCCGGCCGGCGCGTCCGCCGCCGCGTCGCGGCCGTCGCCGGCCGGGTCGCTCGCCTCGTCCGCCGCCGCCGCCCCGCCGGCGTCCTCCATACCCTCGCCGCTCTTGCGCGAGCTGGCGTCCTCGTGGGCGTCCGCGTCCTCCTTGGGGTCCTCGCGAGCGTCGCTGTCTTCCCTTGTGTTTTCGTGGGAGCTGGTCTCCTTGTGGTCCGCGGGACTTCCAGGATCGGCCTTAGCGTCTTCGTGCACCTTGTCGTCTTCCCTGACGTCCTCGACCTCTTTGGACGGCATTTCTCCGTTGAGCGCTACAGGAGAGCCGGCGTCTGTCTTCGACGGGCTCTTCGGCGACTCAATGACCGCATCACTGCTCTGCTTCTTCGTACCTCCTCCGTTACTCTCCCTTGGTTCATCATCCACTTCGTCAACGACCGGCTCGTGATGATGACCGTTTTCCGTAGCCTCCACCTTCTCTTCTTTCGACACCACGTATATCTCGACGCGCTCCTCGCAGCTATCACCGTTCTTCCCCGCCTCGCGCTCGCTCTCAGGCTCCGGGGTCTCTGCCTCTTTCTCGCCCTCCTCAGCGGCCGGCTCTGGCTCGACGACGGACGCCTTGCCGCCGCCCTCCGCCGGCGGCTCAGCGGCCGGCATCGGCGCCCTCTCGCGGTCGGCGGGCTCAGCGGGCGCGTCGGTCGGCCCGGCGCCGCCCGGCTCCGGGTCGGCCGCGTCCGGCTGCTCAGCACCGTCCCCGCAGCTGCGGCTGGTCTCCGCCGGACCCGGCTCCTCATCCGCGCCGGCCGCTGGCTCAGCGACCGCTGCCTCCGTGACGCTCCCCGCAGTCCCAGCATCGTCCACAGCCGGCGAATCACCGTCAACAGCCTCTCTCGCGCCGTCCACAGCCTCTACCGCACCGTCCACACTGTCCACAACACCCTCCACGTCACCGGCGGCGCCCTCCGCCGCCGGCTGCGCCGGCACGTCCGTCTCCGGCGGCGGTGGCGGTGGCGGTGGCGGCGGCGGCGCCTCTGCCACCGCCCCCGCGCCGTCCGCCCCCGCGCCGTCCGCCGGCGCGTCGCCGGCCGCCGGCGCCGGCGCCTGGCCGGCTGGCTCGACGGCTGCCTCAGCACCCTGCACCGGCTTGTCCCAGCCGCTGATGGTGCTGATGGGCCGCTGCTGCCGCAGCGCCGGGTCGGTGATGTTGTCCGCTCGCCGCCGCTCGTACTGCTCGTACATCTGCGCGAACTGCAGCTTGAAGTCCTCGTACGACACCTGCAACCATCGCGGCGGGTCACACCCTCGGAAAGCGCTGTGTGCTGGGGGGCGCGAGAAATCGCTGGTGCGGCTGGACGGCCCAATGTCTACAACGTTGGGTTTGGTGAACGGCAAGAACCTTACCGAGTGCAGGAAATGAATGCCGCTTACTTGAGGAAGAAACCCCAGGGGCGCGTTTGAGCCGTGACCCATCCATTGTTGTCTCCTGACAAACCGTGCCGTCTCCCAAAGCAGCACCCCATCGCCACCTGGACTCCTCCACCCCGCGAGCGGCCGCCCTGAGCTCACCTTGGAGTGGACGATAGCGAGCGTGTCCACCCACGACGCGCCAGCCGCCGTACTCGGCCTTGATAGCGTGGTGCAGCAGCATGCGGAACAGGTTGAACACCATCTCGGAGACGCGCTGCTCCTCGGCCGAGCGCGGGTGGATGTAGGCCATGGCGATCAGCCACTCCTGCCGGCACAGCCGCGGACGGCGGTCAGCCGGGCCGACCTCGTCCCCAGACCGGCGTCGCGGCCGACGGCTGGCCGACGGCACTCGGCACCCCGCCGTTGAACGCAATCACGTCAATCTCCGAGCTCGGAGCCGTACGGCCGGCAGTGGTGGGGGTGGAGGGAGGGGAGGGGAGCGGAGCTTTGCTCAACGGGGCGGGCCTGAGAGGCCAGAGGTCATGGGTCATTTCCCGCTCACTCGCATCGCAACTGGCCTGGCATTTGGCGCCATTCTCTGACATCACCATGACTTTCGCGACATCTGAAAGGGTGCCGCGGCGCATGAATGGAGCAGCCCATACCGCGAGCGGTGCCGGACAATGCACGTCTCGCAAACAATGCAGGCGACGCTTTAACAGATGGCGTGTGCCATTTCGGGAAGCAGCTTCTTCACGGCCCTCCATTCGGCCCGACGGCGGCGGCGGCCGGCCGGCATCGCCTGACCTGCCAGACGCTCATCTGCAGCACGGTGCGCCGGTTCTCCTTGTTGGCCTGGCAGAGGAGCGTGGTGTCGGTGAGGAACAGCTTCTTCACCTCCATCAGGCCGTCCGAGGTCTTGGACTGGCGGATCAGGCTGGCCACCACCTTCAGGATCACTGCGGACGACCCCAGGACGTCGGGTCATCAGGTCACTGCGGCGGAGGTCGCGGTCCGGGGCCCCGTCCGACCCGGGTCACCGGACCGCCTCGGCTTGTTCACGTCAGAACACCGCCCGAACCCCTAGCGCAGCTTCAGTTTGGTCGCAAAGGAAGCCGGACCAGACGGTGCGCCAAACAGCTGGCTTTCAAAGACGCACACCGACCAGCTGCTGGAAGTGTTGCGGATCCGGAGCGCGGGACACGCGGACGGTGTGAGGTGCCGTCAGAGCTGGCACACCGCGTGCTGCACACGCCTCACTGGGCCCGGACGTCGGGACCCGCCCCGGCCGTCCGGCCCGGGTCGGGCGGACGTACTGGGGTTCTCCAGGCGGTGGCTGACTTCTGGCTCCGCGTGCCGCACGTACAGGATGCCCTGCGTCATCTGCTCCGTCAGGATCTGCCGGCGGACGCGGCGCGTTACATCACGCGCACGGCATGCCCGGGGCCACGCCCTGATAAGTCAGAATGCGCCGGTTCATAGCTCCAGGTCCCATGTGAAGTCGCGCTGGCAGGGGCCGTCATATACGGCGGGTGGGTGCCATGGCGACACCTGCTGCGGAGCCAGGCAGTGGCGCCGACCTACGTATCCAGCTTCCGCCGGCTCCCTCCCGACGCAGCGCTGCAGCAGGCGCGCGACGCATCGGCGCCTGGCGCACCACACATCAGAACTCATTCAAGCGCAGCCCGCCTCGTCCGCGTCACACGGGCGCCGACTCCGGCGGCGGTGGCGAGACCGTACCTCGTACAGCACGTTGTAGGTGGCCAGGGTGAGGGACTCCTCGTTCAGCAGGATCTTCTCCACCAGCAGCGTGTACAGGTTGTGGGGGTTCATCACATCATACTTTCGCCTGCAACGACCAACGAGAGGCTGGTGAGACGCGTCAACACCCAGCGCACGCCTTGAGAAGTGAATGACGCAAGCTGCGGGTGCTTGCGAACGAAATGAACTTGCACAAAACGCATTCTTTGAATTTGATTGAATTCATTTCAGCCGGAATGTGCGCCTTCACTTCAATTTTGGGGGCATCCATTCACCTTCTTGTCAATAAAGATCTGTTTGAAAGGATACATGACATTAACTACGATGTCATAACACGTTTTCGCCTTTTGCGGAGGTCGCCTTGGAACGGAAATCTGGGACGAAATCCCCGAGCCAACCCCTGACCAGCACCCGATCACAAGGTCGCACCGCTCTCTCTCTCTGACGCCGCCCTCCGCGCTGCGCCGCCAGCCGTGCCTGTCACCACTCACTTGTGTGTGCTTCGACAGAGGAAGAAGCCCATCAGCTTGAGCGCCAGCAGCCGGATGGTCTGCGACTGGGCGCCGAGCAGCTTCAGCACCGACTGGATGCCCAGCTTGAGGTCGAAGGCGGGCACCATGGAGGCGGGGTGGTCGGCCATCAGGCCAATCAGCGTGTGCAGCACGTCCTCCAGGTTCTCGTCCTGGCGGCGGCGGCGGCGGCGGGACGATCGCGGTCAGTCGTTATGGGACGGGTGCCACCGGGCAAGGAAGGCCGTTGCGGGCCACGTCCACGGGGTAGTCTTGGGCCCGTGCTCACATGCATAAATTCGGCTGCGACAGTGGAACTCGACACCTGTTCACGCATCACCTGCAGTTCAGAGACATAACTTCCACCCGGATGGAGTCAAGCAGGCACAGGCCGCCAGCGGCCGCGCCGGCTCACCACCGCCCAGTCCGATCTCTCCGGCCGCGACCTCAGCCGCTGGCGGTGTCGGACCAGCCGGAGCCGGAGAGGCCTCCCGTCCCTGCGTCTGCGCCTGCGTCCGGTGACGCCGTCTCAGCTTACAGCGCACCTCGTGTATGGTGCTGAGGTAGTTGAGGATGCTCTGCAGCTCGTCCTCCTTGACGCCGTTGCCGATGAGGATCAGCTGCCGCAGGAACAGCAGCATGTGCGAGCGGATGAGCAGCACGTCCTTCTTGGAGGGGCGCGGCCCGTCTGGCGGCGAGAGCACGGCCCGTCAGCGTCCGTCGCACGACAGTGACCTGCTGCCGGTGCGGGCGCAGGAGACCGCTGGCCAGCACGGCAGCCCGGCTCACGTGACCCGGGTCCGCCGGCACACGCGCACAGCGGAGCACAGGATCCGGGCTGGCCGGGCCGCTCCTAAATATGATCGACGGCCGTTTAGACCAGCTGAACGCTTTCACAAGCGGCCGTCTCGATCCATGGCACAACACAGCGTACCTCTGACGGCGATGGCACCATCACTTCAATACTGATCCCTGCGCCAATTAATGACGCAACCCCCCCCCCCCCGAGCTCTGCTCCACGCGCTGAACTACACGAGCTCGCCGCGCCGGTGACGACCCGAGCACCTGTCCCCGCCCGGCGGCGGCACCTGCCAACCCCCAGCCAGGGCCGTCCAGGGCGGATGGTGACCACGCCCCTCCCCTGCCGCGTGTCTCACCGACGGCCTTGGGCGTGACGCCGCTCTTGTCGCGCGGATTGACCACCCAGTAGTAGTACTTGAGCGTGTGCAGCGTCTGCAGTACGGTGGACACGCGCCGCACGCTGTTGTAGATGTGCGTGTCGCAGAGGAAGTCGGACGCCAGGTAGCCGTACAGCCGGGTCTGCACGCCCACCGGCGCGTACACCCACAGCGCCGGGTTGAACAGCACGTGGTCCAGCAGCTGGCGGCGGCACGCGGGACTGGGGTGAGGCGCGACGCAGCGGAACACACACGGCACGCACACCGCGCCAGCCGCACAGGAGCGCGGGCGGGTGTCGCGCAGGCGGGGAGAGCATGAGAGTGGTGGAGAGGGTAAACGGCAATGAGGGTGGACAAGTACATAACTGATAATGCTACCCTACTTCGGCACAACACTGGGAGTGCATCGCTACCTAGGCCAATTCAAAGGGCGTAGCACTGAAACAAACCTACCCACCATCGCTGTCGGGAAGCCGAGAAAACCACGAAGCCTGGAAGACCACACAACACAGCAACACGCCACCGGCTGACCAGAGCGCGCGCCAACCGTTCGCCTCCTACGTCACGAGCCGGGCCGGTCGGTGGCGCCGGCGCCCACCTGCTTGAGCAGCAGCTCGGTGTTGGTGCCGGGACAGGTGACCAGGTACTTGGAGAGCTGCAGGAACACGCTGAGCACCTGGTCGTTCATGTGCTCGCGGTTGGTGCGCTGCAGCAGGTGCGAGATGACCAGGAAGCCGCGGCACTGCAGCATGTGCTGCTGCACCACGGCCGAGGTCTCCACCAGCTCGCAGATGAAGCCCAGCAACGTAGCGCTGCCGGCGGAGGGCCAGAGGTCGGGCTAGTGCACGGCGCACGCCGCCCGCAGCGAGCTGACTCAACACGGCACATGCGTGTCTCTTGGTGAACCGAATCACATCCGCTCACACCGTTGAGACCGTTATGTTCCGAAGTCGGCGTCAAAGCGGTGAAGAAGCGCACGATCTCGAAGGCAATTAAAAGCTAGCGATGCGAAGTCACGTTGGATCTACGTGATCGTAGTGTGTGATCTGATAAGTATATACAAAACTGAAAATGCACCTTTCAAGGGTTATGATTATTTAGAGATGCAAAGTGAATATGTGCATAAATGCAGTTTGAAATCTAGCCACCTATGCCGACAATGCGGGAAATGCGTGCCTGCAATGCAAACGGAATATAAAACTGACATTTAGCAACATCATAGCCAGCTATCGTTTCGTTCCAGAACGCACGCAACACTCTTGAAAGTTCCCATCACATTTGTCTCGGCATAAGCAGCGCGAAAGAAGGTCCTTCTCCACGGTACCGGACGGATACTGATATCACAACGTAATGACAAAAACACATCTTAGTCCGGCACATTCAACTGGTTTACGATACGGGTGCCTCAAATGAATACGCATTCGCTGAATATTTGAACATTATATATATATATATATATACATAATGAACTTAACTAATCATTTGCGTAGCGTCAACATAAACTCAATCACTGAGACGATTTGACAATCACAAGCCTTCAGAACGTCTGTGGTAATGTTTGTATTCCTACGTCCTCCAGAAATCGACCGGCGCCTGGCATTGCGCCTAACTTATTTTCCGAGTTCAAAGTAACGTTAATGGCATCGCTGCGTGTTTCACGCGGCCCATGCGATGCCAGGGCACAGCGCGCGACAGGGCCGGAACTGATCGATGGCCTCCGAAAACCCAGAGTGACGTCGGCAACGAGCCAGGCAGCATCGGCGCCATATTCCGATGGACAGCACCACACGCGACGAGAACGTAACTTATGTTACGACACAAACTGGCTGCACGACGTGGTGAGCCCGAGATTGGGCGCGATCACGGGCCCGCGACGACAGCCAAGTGCCGCTCTGCTGACACGTGACTGAGCAAATACCCCCAGTCCCGGCGGCTTGAATGCACGAGTCGCATGTACACAATCATTACAGCGGCGCACACGACGGCGTCTGACTCAGCATCGACCCCGGCCGGCCTGCGTGGCACAAATGCATTATTCCCGAGCAAAACCGACGGAAAGGAGCTTATGGCAGTAATCCTGTAGTTTCCAGGGTAACACTCCACAGCAGTGCATTCGCGTCGATGAAGCGTCCTCTGGTGACCGCATGAAAACAAGGGCCTCGCACAGCGCAGACCGCCTGGCCGTGTCGTTCCAGACGCGTTACTGCACCCGAGACTGGGATCGCATCCGAGAGGAAGCGGTCTCTCACACGAGGTTGGAGCCCACCCCCCCCCCCCCCCCCCCGTTGATAACTACTACCTCACCAAAGGTTGGGGTTCCGTTCCCGGTGAGCAGCTGCATCGCCCCAGGTTAGGGCGCCCCCTTGGGGGTGTTCTCTCACAGAGTCAGGGTCCCTGTTGAGGAACGTTCCCTCGCTGGGGGTGGCGGTCCCACCCGCGCACCGCTCTGCCCTCCTCCCCCTTTCTCACCAGAGGTTAGGGTCGCGGCGTCCCTCCGTGCCGTCCACGCCCGCCTCCACGGGCAAGTCAAGCTGCGAGAACAGCGGGAACAGCACCTGGATGCCGCCGATGGCGTTCAGCGTCGCGTAGATGGAGTGCGTGACCACGGCGCACACGTCCTGCAGACGGAGGGAGGGGGGGGGGGGCCGTCACGACACAGGAGCACGGACGGCTTCCGAACGCGAACACGATACACGCGGAAAGCACGTGCCATTGGCCAGGCCCGGTGAACAGAAGCGAAGACATGGCTCACGTTCAAACCATATCGCTACGCGGCAGCTTTGCGCCCCGTGGCTATTCTGAAGCATCCACAGGGCGTGACAAGGATACCTGACGTAAAAACTACGGCCTCAACATAGATACTCTCAGTTTAAATGGATAGGAGAGCCACGAACGACGGCGATATTTTCACAAAACAGTCGCAGCTCGATTGCTTGACAGATCACCCACGTGTAGCTATGCTCCCCAGGTCGGGACTGAGACACGTGACCCAAAATAATCGCAGCTCGATTGCTTGACAGATCACCCACATGTAGCTCTGCTCCACGGGCCAGGACTGAGACACGTGACGCAAAACAATCGCAGCTCGATTGCTTGACAGGTCGCCCACGTGTAGCTCTGCTCCCCGGGTCGTGACTGAGACACGTGACGCAAAACTAAAGATGAAGGCAATCTACAACCGTTCGTGATTCACAACGGACCGATACGGCGGCCGATCGTGACTCGGCAGAGTCTGGCTTAATCAAAGAAGGCACTTAAGTGAAGGTCTTACGTGAAAAGACGACGTCCGAGCGATCGCCAAACTAACGCAATTTTACGGCACGGGAGCCATCGCCCCCAACTTCAGAGGCCGCCCACTGCTTCCGAGGTCACGGTGTGTCGAGTTACGATATTTCCCGCTGCCGCAGAAGGCGCCTCCATGACTGACGCTGCCGCAGCGTTCGACACTACCGCGCGAACCGGCGGGAGGGGTGCGCTGTAGCCGCGGCGCGGCAGGCGACCTGGCCGCGCGGAGAAACCCTGAGCAGCGGCGGCCCGCAGTGGCCCGCGGCGGCCCGCGGCCGGCCAGCTTCCGAGCTGGTCTTAATTATGTCCGACGATTCATGGCCTGTCGGGTTCGCGGAGCACGGGGATCACCGCGCCGGCGGCCTGCGCGCAGGCGGCTTTAGCGAGACCGTCCCATCGCGCTTCACTCGACACCCACCCTACACCCGCGTGCAGGCGGCTTTAGCGAGACCGTCCCATCGCGCTTCACTCGTCACCCACCCCACACCCGCGCGCAGGCGGCTTTATCGAGACCGTCCCATCGCGCTTCACTCGTCACCCACCCCACACTCGCGTGCAGGCGGCTCTAGCGAGACTGTCCCATCGCGCTTCACTCGTCCCCCACCCCACACCCGCGTGCAGGCGGCTCTAGCGAGACCGTCTCACCGCGCTTCACTTGTCCCCCACTCCACGCCCGCGCGGCCGGTCGCCGTCCCTGGTACCGCTCTCTTCCCCGAGAGGCACGAACAGACCGTGTGCGATGCCGCGCTGTCTCCTGACAGCACCCACCATATCTTCTCGGAATGAGAAATGAGCACCGTTGCCATTTCGCGCCGTCCCACCAATTCTGCTCAAATGCTGGCACTATTATGCCAATTGTGATGCAAAACTCGGACGATCTCCCCAGAGTCTCTTCGAGAGTGAGCCCGGCGGTACGGAGAAGTCCAAGTCCAGTTAGAGACCCTCTCAGGGACTCCAAGGGCGTGTGACGTGCTCACAGTCCGTGCGCCAGCGCTGTGACTCGCTTCTCGGCCGGCGCGGGCGTGTTTTCCTCGCGACGTCATAAGCTGACGGGGGCGTGCCTGTCATCCGTGTGACTGGGCCCAGAGCGAGCGCAAGCGCGAGACACTCCACTCGCCTGGCGCATGAGGCCGTGTGCCGAGTGGACAAAGTAGGAGGGGTTGCCCTTGGGCGCCGACTGCAGGCAGAGCTGGCCGTCGGTGGCGGCGGCGCTGTACATGAACACGATGGCCGCCGACATCTTGCCGTCGTACAGCACCTGGGCGCGGAGGAGCGGGGGCGAGTTAGGCGGCCGCACCTAGAAATAACCAGCTTAGTGGAGGGAGACAGCGTCAGAGTGTACAACACAATCCTCACCCGTATCTCAAGTAAGTGAGGGATGTGTACAATGAGTCACACGCAACATGCAATCCAGATGAACTTGCAACGGGTAAAAAAAAACACCGGGCCGTCTCGAGATAGAGACCAGCACCAGCAGGGTACACCATGAACTATCACTGAACACGTATGCCATAACCGTACGTGCCGTGCATCACACGGCCGTGTTTCCCCTATGTGCTCAATCAAACCAAACACACGCCAGCACAATCCTTATCACCGACTGCACGCCAGCAGGAGCCGCTGCTCCTGCCCCGCCCCGCGCCGCCCCCGCCTATCGTCGCTCGGCTCATTACTCGCCGCCCCCGCAGCGTCACTCGGCACGACACGGGACGTCGGCGGCTGTACTTGGGCCGCCCGCCGGCCGGGCAGCGCTCTGGACGCCGTCATGAGCCCCGGCGCAGGGCTCGGCCCCGTCTCCCCCTCGGGCGCGGCCGAGCTCAGACCCTCTCAGCTCCTCGGTGCCGCCTGGTGTCAGGTGGGGGGGCGGGGGGGGGGTAACGTCAGCCATGGGAACGGGGCGCCGGGGGTCCGGTGCCGGGCTGGCGGCGGCGGCGGCGGGACGGCCTTCACTCACCCGTCTGTGGTTCTCTGACAGGCGGTCGTTGCTCTCCGCCTCGAACCGGAACTGGCTCTGTAAACACGACAGGCGGCCTGTGACAGACAGACAGACACACTGGGGGTTGCCTCTGCCAGCGCGATACGGGAAGGATGTGGGGACAGCCTCGCACACACGATGTCGAAACGGACCGTGAACACTACACAACAGGATGCCGTATTCTGCCGACACACGACCGGCGAGATGACGACTCTGTCAGCACTACTCGGCCCGGAGGCCCGAGCTGAATCTCAAATACAGAACAAAGATCACGTCGGAACTGGCTTCACAAACAATCCACAGCGGCGACACAAGAGCAGTCTGCAAAGGCAGCACGCACCGAATAACAGGCGGGCATAAATCACCACACTAATGACACACTCGACTCGGCCCGCAAAACAGCCCGCGCAGCGGCGAGCCCTCTCCCGCCCAGTTCCCGGTCGCGGTGGCATTTCCCGAGTCGCCGCTGGGCAAAGCCGGTGATTGAGCCATGGCCGCGCCGCGCCGACATCGGCGGCGGGCCGCGGACCGGGCCGGGCCGGACCGGGGCGACCCTGGCGCCCGTCGGGCCAGGCGGCGCGATCGATGATGGCGCTCCGGATCAGGCTGCTCTCCGATACAGCCGCTCACGGGCGGCGACGGCCGCGGCACTCGCCGGCCGGCCGGCCAGTCGGCCGCCGCCTCCTCAGCGCCGCTCGCTGCCGCCAGCCTTTGGCGTCTACGTGCACCACAAGGTAACGTTTGGTGTTTGATCGAGGAAAATTGGCCCCGTGCGGAGAAGCTCGACGCGAATGCAAATAGCAAAGGAAGACCACTGGGAGTATCAGTATGGAAGGCAATGTGCAGAAGCATTTACAGAAATATCTGAGGGGCGTCCGGCGCAACGCGACGACTCCGGGCGGTCCCAAAAGCCTGCAGTAGCAATGTTGCGGAGTACGGCAGCAGTCAATCGCATGCAGCTAAACAAAGCCTCGCGTCTGTAGAATGACCGAACCACGCCCTAGGAAATCACTGAACAAACACGGCTGCAGCGGGGGGCCGACCGGCACGGCACACACAGCCGACCCATTCCCCAGACGCCAATAGCTCTCCGCTCCTGCATGCACACCGCCTTTGACCGCTCTCAACGTACACGCAGCGTCGCCGGCCGCCAGGCATCGACTCGGATGTCGCTTTGCTATTGTGCCGATTGATGACGGAAACGTGAAACAGTCGCGAGCGCCTTTTAGTCAGCCGCAGACAGCTCTTCAGTTCGTGAGTGGTCAGTGATCACAGCTGCGGGGGAAGGGCGACACAACGAATCCGGTGGCGGAGTGGAACGGTCACAGACCGAACCCCTTCGACGTGGCCGTTCTGTACGCCACCGCACCACAGAGTTGGAGGAGTGAGCGGATACCACTGATTGAGTGAGGGTACGGCAGATCAGGCCGGTGCCACACTGTCCGGATTATCCACAGTGCGGTCTATCAGCCGCACTGGGCGGATTATCATCGGTGCGGTCTATCGTCCGCAATGGGCGGCGTGAGCACTGGGCAGATGACAGACCGCACCAGCGAAGACAGCGAAGGTGCGAAATACTTTTGCAAAATGACTTAGGAACTGAACGGTGAAAATTATGTAATTTTACCCCCACCCCCCCCAAAAAACAAACGAAGGGATAGTTCGGGGGGGGGACCTGAGGTTCGAGTTGGGAGGAGGGATGAAGTTTCATCAACTGGATAGGAAACTTTGCCTCTGGCACGCACCACTGGCGGAATGAACGGATGATATACAGCACCACTGGCGGAGCGAACAGAGGTATACAGCGGCACTGGCGGAGTGAATGAATGGTATACCCCACTGCTGACGGAGTGGACAGGTGGTATACAGCACCACTGGCGGAATGAACGGACGATATACAGCACCACCGGCGGTGTGAATGAATGGTATACCTCACCTCTGGCGGAGTGGACGGGTGGTATACAGCACCACTGGCGGAGTGGACGAAAAAAAATGGTAAACTCCACCACTCGCGTAGTGGACGGATGGCATACAGTACCCCTGGCGGAGTGAACGGATGACATCCAGCACCTTTCGCAGCTATGCTTGAATAAAATGAGAACGCGACGCACGTTGCCCCACGCCCCTGTTATGAATCGCCCGCGACTGTAGAGGCCATGTGAGCGTTCAAGGGCGACAGTGTAATCGGGGTTCGAACCACGGGCCGAGTGATCCGATGGCAGACCACACCTCTGGCGGACCGCACCATCCTCCCGATCCACCGCGTCCCTGGTCGTCGGTGGAGCCAGCACATCTCAGTGCATGACCGCCGCCGCCGCCGCCGCGCCGGCCGGCCGGCCTCCGGTAATGAGGCGCCGCCTCGGCCGGATGCCGACTGATTTGGCACGGGCGGCGGGCGACGGGCGGCGGGCGACGGCACCCCACACTGCCGAGCGGTGCGACGTGGCGCCACGTGCCTGCGGGGGAGGGGGAGCGCTGGACGACGACGTCCCCGCCGCGACCGGCGGCAGCAGCTCGGTCAAACGCGTCCTGCGCGCTGCGATCGCTTGTCGATAGGAGACAAATGAGCGGAGCTATTGGGGTAATATCCCATCTCGGGGCGCTGATCAATCATTTTGCGAGTGCCCATTGCGACTCCGGGCCTAATTGGTGCCGAGTCGGAGACAAGCCCGCGCTGCATGGGCCAAAGATTGATGCTCGGATGATTTAGCGACACGTCCACCTTCTCCGGTCACCTGTCGTCCACGTTTGCCACGCCGACGGCCGCGGTGAGCGACGGAACACCGGACTCCCGTCCAGGCCCGAACCCACAACCTTCCCACCAGCGGCGGTGGCCGAGCGATCCAACCAGCCGCGCTCCTCTGTCGCCTGCACCGCTGATGAGCAGCTTCATGCTCAGACTAGGCACTGCTTGTCAGACTTGCGTTTGATTCCAGAAGAATCGAATCTGGTTCGGTAATTGGGCTCGTTCTGGCCTGAATCGGATTAGGATTCCACTTCGTACGCTGCGTTGGATTCGGAATTAATTCACATGGCTTGTGAACGCATCAGCAATGAATGGATTCCGCTTTGAAATTACGCGATTCACAAAATGTTTGTGCCAGTCTCTGAGATCTATGCGTTAAGTTAACCTACTACTGCACAAGTTTCATGGCCTGTAAGGCAGCAAAGTCTGTCCTAATACCTTGGACTTCCGGCGCCTTCAGTTCCCAGATATATGAGCATGTATGCATTAAGGCATCATGCTTAATCAGCAAGCAGTTGTGTTCCTGTTCCTTCATATAAATACATGATAGCAGCCGTGCGTTGTTGCATCCATTGCTACCGATTGACAAGCTGCGATACCTATTGAACCATATCTATGGCCGCACGCACGCACGCACGCACGCACGCACGCACGCACGCACGCACGCACGCACGCACGCACGCACGCACGCACGCACGCACGCACGCACGCACGCACGCACGCACGCACGCACGCACGCACGCACACACACACACACACACACACACACACACACACACACACACACACACACACACACACACACAACACACACACACACACACACACACACACACACACACACACACACACACACACACACACACACACACACACACACACACACACACACACACACACACACTTCTTACGTGTACGTTTGCTTGTGCATGATGCATCATGCGCATTAATTTACCGCCTGCTGTGTCTGTCGTTGGGGCTTTACGACGCACCCCAGCTACTAGTTATATGGCATCGCCTGCTTCTCACCCTGGCGAGAGGGGCGGGCACCGCGGGGAATCGAACCCCGTACTTCTGGTTTCCTAGACGCGCAGCGGTTGTTAACCACTACACTGCCGGTATCCCACCGCCTGTTGTTCGACAAAAACTTGAATCGGTATCGAATTCGGAAATTTCTGCTGCGCTAGCGTCAGATTCGAATTAAATTCCAACTGTCAACATTCGCTTTGACTCAGATTCGGATTCGGAATCAATTCTGCCCGAGTGGATTCCAGCACCAGCCTCCATTTACTTTGAAACGGCGCTTCGACACACCACGGTGCCCCTACAGCGCCGAGGCGTAAACACACTGGATTAAAGCACAGCACTCGCCTTGGCAAGAGATCCAATTTGATCGCATACAGAAGGCTCAATGGCAGCGAACACCTGTGGGCCTCTGAAGACCGTTCGAACAGCACGTGATTCGATCGACCAGCGTACAGGGTGGCTTGAAAAGCCGCCTTTAACCGATAATGCAGGTAATCGCGTGTTCAACCAAGTGCTGGTAGAAGTCGCGGACCTTACCAGCAGCCCACCAAAGACGCGATATCAGGCTTGCCCCCTCCCCCTGGCCGGGAATCACCTCACAGGTCCGGACTGCGACGCGGCCGGCCGGGCGTCGCCCCGGCGTGGCTCCGTCTCGCCTCCGCGTGGGTCCCTCTCCGGTCCGCTAGGGTCTTCCGAGGACCGAGCAGCCCCGGTCACACCGGGGCTAGCCAGATCGGGGCGGCCACAGCCGGGTCGGCTCCACGGGGCGACCCGGCTGTGGCCGCACGACCCGGCCTGAGGCGGCTGGCGTGGGGACCCGCGGGCCCCTCGCCGAGCCGGCGGCCGACCTCACCCCGGCACGCGTCAAGGCGAGGACAGCCCCGCGTGGTGTGGGACTCTCGGGAGGCCACCAGTCCAGGAGACGACCATGGGGTGTGGACTCGACAGCACATCAGAATCACGCCTTTCTCAGCTTTGTGAAGCGAATATCGCAAGCCTCAGTAAGTTAGAATTACGCGTACAATAACTGTCAGCCTTACAGCACCCTTCATCAAGCTGCTACAACCATAACAGAATAATGACTTGCAGCGGTTAGAAGAATATAAATTGGGAAAGAGTGCGATATTTGCGCAGGCCCTGTCACCATACACGCGCAGTGGTTTCTTGGAGCGAAACCTTGCGAGACCACGCTAACCGGTGTCCGCGCTTCCCAGCCGGAAGGAGGGGGAGGGGAAGAGGGGGAGGGGGCCGTGTAAGTGGCCCGCTCAGCTGGTAATACTCTCCATCTGAGCGCCATCGGCACTGGCCGGTAATTGCCGCAGTGCATCGCATCGATTGGCGGCCGATGGACTAGGTATTGAGTGGAGCGGCGGCCGCGCCAAACGGCCGGAACGGCGCAGAATAAACAGAGAAGCGCCCGCACCGGCCGTCCGCTCGCGCCTTTCCACCACATCGATCGTGGACACGGACGCACTGGCACGTGGCGCCGCGTGGACACGCGGCAACCAGCCATAGGATAAGGCTCGAGCACGGGTAGGCAAGTGGTCGCTACCGATGCGTGCGTGAGTCTCGGTAACCTGTTCGAGCCGGCGCGAGCCGAGCCCTTTCGTGGTGAAATAGTGATCGTCTCATACGAAAATGAGACAGACAACGCCAGTTGTGCTCGAAGTAAATGCTGTTTCGTGCCAGCAACACCACTTGAAACGAACTTCTTCCATCTGACTTCATTGACGACCGAGGTAACCCAACAAACTAACCGAAAACTGAAAAGCGAGGCGTCCATGCCCTCACCACATGAATGCAGCCCGCGCGTTCCAGACAAACTGTTTCATTTCCTTCTCCGGTGCGCCTTTCGAGGGCACGTGAGCACGTCATCTTCCCCAGTCTAGCCTGGATCACACGGCGTGCGCGCCGCCCCGCGCCTGTTACGCGCTCAGCGACTCTCGGAAGCGGTAGAGCTCTCACCTTGTAGCCGGGGCCGAGCCGGTGCATGCCGCACACCTGGTGAGCATTCAGCGCCTCCGAGAAGAGGTAGACGGCGGACATCTGGCCGCAGAAGACGCGCTCCTCGTCTGGCTCGTGCGTGGCGCCGATGTGGCACCTGTCGAACGTCTGGAGAGAGGCGGACGGGAGGGGGGTCACGAACACCTCGGTGCGACCTGACCGGACGCGAGCCACGGTAGCGGGCGACCAAACACGATGCGGTGGGAGAGGAGCGTCGACGAGGAGGGCGACCCAAGCGGCGTGGTTCAAACGACGGCCCTCACAGAGGAGACTCGCCCACGCTGTACGTCTGCGACGCCCCGCTTAAACGCGATCTCGTCGCCTGCTTTACGATCAGTACTCGCAAGGGACGACATAAGCGACCGCACTAGATGCAACAACGCCCCCGAGCAGACGTGTTATGCGGGCCGTATGCGGCTCTAAGGTCACGGGAAAATCAGCACGTCAAACAAGCGGCGGGCCATTAAAAGGAGGGTCGGCAGGAAAGCAGGCAGATATGGGCAACTTATCTATCGACGGTCATAAATACGACACCATCGATGCCCACACCTTTGCGGAAATAGCACGGCGGCCGAACGGGAAACCAGCAGCACAACTGAACCGCTCTCCTCTCTCTCTCTCTCTCTCTCTCTCTCCCCGTCTCCTCTCCCGTCTCCCGTCTCCCGTCTCCCGTCTCCCGTCTCCCGTCTCCCGTCTCCCGTCTCCCGTCTCCCGTCTCCCGTCTCCCGTCTCCGTCTCCCGTCTCCGTCTCCGTCTCCGTCTCCGTCTCCGTCTCTCCGTCTCCGTCTCCCGTCTCCGTCTCGTCTCGTCTCCTCTCCGTCTCGTCTCGTCTCTCTCTCTCTCTCTCTCTCTCTCTCTCTCTCCTCTCTCTCTCTCTCTCTCTCTCTCTCCAACAGAGGATGAAACTAGAGCCTACCAACATTACCAAAATCGAGCAAAAATCAATCCTGAGACTTCCTATCAATGCAAAAGAGTAAACACCAGCTCGGCAGATATGACAACTACCCAAACCAAAACTTTCCGCGACATTTGCATCTGCTCTGAGCATGAGCCAAAAGTGGAGGAACTGGTGTGCACCGGCCCAAAGGAACACGGCCGCCAGACAGGACACCGGCGGCTTCCTCTGACCGTCGGCTGGGCACGGACAACCAGAGCCTGCCCTTCCTGCCCGCGTGCCGGCGCATCTGAGCGGTCACGGTACACCTCAAGGCCCCATTGCGCGGCTCACGGTGAGCGCCTGCTGCAGATAGAGTGTGTGTGTGGGGGGGGGGGGGGGGGGGAGGCAGCCGGACACGGCGCCACGAACGTGAGCCCCGTCTGCGCACCAGTCCCGTGGCCGCGGCCGCCCACCCCAGCCCGGTCACAGCTGCAATACGTCTAACGAGCGAACAATTCGATGCCTCGCCGTGCCCTGGTAGGCAAATTTCGGGCGCATGGATACATTACCGTCAGCTCCGGAGTGAAACACAATTTAAGCCAGCATCAGATGAAACGCTCCCTGCGGCCACCGGCAGCCTGGGTGAATAGCATCACCTTCCAGAACTTCGGCCCGGCATCGCTTACAACTCAGCGCCTTCCCTGATTTCGCCGGGGATTCCGTGATACAACGTTCTGCTGCAGCCGGCTACAAAACTGCAAGGAATCTGCCTCCTTAAATAGCCACTCCATTGGAGATTCAGCTCTCAACAGTCGCTAAAGTTTCCCCATTATCTGACAACGACAGGCAGAGTCGTTACGTCCCGGGGCTCGTACCGTTCCGGGCGTCTTTGACGACGCCCTATAACTCCGGCCAAAAACCGGCGGAGGACTGTCCAAGTGTGGACGCTTGTGAGTGGCCGGGACGGCGGCCGATCTGAGACAAAACGGAGGCCACTCTTGGCCCTCAAGACGCCCGTATGGCCCAGAAGAGCGCGTGCAGCAAAAGCAACTGGGCTGTGTGCCACACCGCGCTCAAACATGGCAGTATCTGATAATATCTTGTATCCTTGACGGTGTTTGGTAGCAATATTTTTCGCACAAAAACACGAAGAAAATGAGGCATATTTCAGGTAACCGTGCACATATTCAGACCTTATGCTCGGGGACATGGGCGAGAAGTGGCATCGAATTTACGGCAGTATTGCTCCCACTATGTGCCTCTTGGCTCCGTCCATTGCAGACATTTCGTTGGGAATTTCAGTTGGCAACGAGCTGATGGTTCGGGTCGATTTGATGGTTTGGGCCACCGCTTGCAAGAAAACCCGTTGGTTTCACTTCACGATGACGAAGCGGGCTGGAGCAGGTTTCTGGGCAGCATCGCGAGACCGAGCTCCCTGTTTGCAGAGCTGGCATCGTGTTGGCAAGATGAGCGGGTGACGGCTCAGAATAGCGCGATCAATGGCATGTGCCGGCGAAAACAATCGAGATTAACCGGTCATTCCACGCTGAATTAGAACGGAGCCGAATGAATTTTGGCCGCCCAGACCCGAGCCGCCATTGTGCGCAGTGACACTCCAGCAAACAAGTGATGAGGTGGCCGGTGGGCCGTCACATCCACAATGCATTTCTGTCACGATCTTCCTGGCACTCTCGTATCTCGTCGTATACAACGTGGCCCTCATTGTCCCGATGTCGCAGCAATATGCGAAAAGTATTCCATTTTACGCCACTAGCCGGCGTTGAAGCCTCGCCGATTCCACTCGGCCCGCCCGCCCTGAGCGTGCAGGGGACCCTTGCGCGGCATCCATCACTCCGGGGGAACTCATCCGCTCCCGTTGGGCCACTCCTCGCCGCCCCCTGAGGGCCCTCCCGCGACCTCTCTCCCCTCTCCGCCCCTCCCGCGTCCCTTCTGCCGCCAGCCGACTCCACCCGATCCGCATTCTCCACGCGTTCCACCCGGACACGGGCGACAGCGGCCCAGCCGGCGCCTCCACAACAACGGAAGCGGACCGGGCGGCCGCCCCGCGCCCGACGCTCGAATCGATAGCGGCCACGCTGGGCGGGCCCGCCGCCGGCAGCAGCGCCTCTCGTCGCGTCACCCGCCGCCGCCGCCGCCGCCACCAGTGCCGCCGGCTGGTGGGTGCAGGGGCCGGCCGCAATCCATTAGAAGCGCCGATGGCGTGCTGGCGACAGCACGTGCTGTCGCCGGCACGTGAGCCGGCCGGCCGCGGTCGGCCCGGCTCGCCCGCGTCGCCGCTGGCCGAGCCGACTCTGAGCCGCCGACGCCCGCAGCCTCGAGCGCAGCCGATCCGCCGCTAGGCACAGCCCGCAGTACCCTCCAGACGTGACCGAGGCCAGCAATCACCCGCGACAGCCGGTGCATGCTGTGTGATCCAGCTCTGTGCAATTCCTAGTGTCTGCACTGGGGCAGGACGGGCAACACATGGCACAGAAACGGTACAGTGGGCCGCTTCGACAATGGTCCAGTGTACCGCGTCTGTACAGATAGTGCGACTGGTTTCACGCGCCTGTCCGGCCCGCTCGCTCGCTACATCCGCATCGCGCACACCTCGTTGTCTCAGTGTCCTGAGTCCACGCCTGCCCTGTCCTGCACTACCCTGTTCTGTTCTGTTCTGTTCTGTTCTGTTCTGTGCTGCGCTGTGCTGTGCTGTGCTGTGCTGTGCTGTGCTGTGCTGTGCTGTGCTGTGCTGTGCTGTGCTGTTCTGTTCTGTTGCATCTTATCCTTATCGGCGTGAGTGGGGCCCGAGCGGGTGCTCAGTGTGCCATGCTGGGCATTGTTAACGTGGCAACACGCAGGATTGTCGTGGATAATCTATAGGGAAATGCAAGAGCAACTGTCTGAATTCTGGGACTCTTAAGTCCAGGCAGGAACATACGGACAGAGTCGTCATCGGGGGCACGCGCCCCGCCCCCTACTAAATTATAGCGTGTATAAATTCAAAGGTGACTTAAGGCTGACAGTTCACAATTTTAGGTAAATACAAATACGCACGCCTGCGGCAAGCCAGCCTCAGCATTCAGCGATTCGTTGTTTTGCGCTGTGTCCCCCTCGCCGACGTCATCCCCGCGTACACCCCCGGGTCCAATGCCCGGCGTTCTACATCCGAAGTGCGGGGCCTGGCGTGCTCTGTTCTCTGCCCTTTGGCACGGCGGTGCCAGGGGATGCCCCGGCCGAGACGAGTGAGGCCGCGGTAGTTTAGCCGCAACGACCGCGCGGCCGCCGTCACGTGACCGATGATTTGGCAGCCGGCGAATCCTCGCACAACACACGAGGAGATGGCGCTCAACATCGCAGAAGTAATCGGGTTTTATGGGCGTGTGGACTGCGGTCGATGTTTGCGCCGCGGTCCATATCGCTAATCATCGCTCCGGCACGGGCAAATGGACTAAACTGCTGCGTGCTCGTTTCTCTATACGGTGGATCAACAACGACATGGCTATATTTCCGAACACCGACTGCACGGTGGGCACCGATGACGGCTTGTGACCTGGTCGTACGGCGGCGCACGGTGCTGCAGTTGGTGCATTTGCACCACCGCCGTGCACCGGTGCGTCAATCTGCAATGACGTCACGACGACCGTGCCCCCTAATTGGCTGCTCTGAGTTTCAGTCGTCGCTCCCTCCGCCCCATGTCAAGGACCTGAGCGTGCCCCTCTGGGTACTGACCTCGCTCCCGGGCGACACGAACCAGGCCATCTCGGTGCTGGACGCCAGCTGGCCGTTGACGAACACCTTGATCTCGCTCTTGCTCCACCGGTTGTAGATGTACACGATGGCGATCATGTACCACTGCAACGCGCCGGCGGCGGTCAGTCGGGCGTGCTTTGGTCGCTGAGACGGTAACGACGGTACCCTGCTGAGGCGGACCGGCGGGGGCGGGGGCGGGGGGCGGGGGCGCCACTCACACTCCCGTTAGTGGGCCGCAAATGGCGCCCACTCCGCGCAAGCTCCGAATTGCAATGGCAGTCCACAGAGCACTAACACGTACGATATCACGTTACAAACTGAACGTCATGATGGTCAATGCTCTTTGAGTGCACAACTTCAATGGACCACAAAGGACTATCGGAATGTGTCAGAACAGCGCTGTGCCACGCTGGCCCAGAGACACCGACAACTCTGACGGAAAAGCGAACGCTTGACCCAGCCGCCAAGCGACGAAATAGTAAATACTTCGTCAATCAACTCGTCCGGATACCACACCGCAAACCGCAGGCTGTTACCGCTTCAGTTAGAGTCCGAAGTCAGTCCATTTGCCAACTGAATGACGTCATTTGCGACCCGCTTCCTTCTGTTTACCAAGCGTCGGCCGCCTGTACTCCGCTGCCGCACACGATCTCACCACAGTACACACACGGAGATTGGACGCCAGTCAGCCGCACCGCCTAGCCTCAGCCCGTAACCGTAGCGTGCCGTAGCGCTTAGCCAGCAACGGGCCTGCGGTTTCCTGGGGATGACTCGGCACCACATCATCCGCGGCTAACACACACACACGCACGCACAAACACACACACACACACCACCGATCACCGCGCTCCGAGACATTGCGTGACCGGCCGGCGGCGGGCGTCTCCGGATCACGGTCGTCACAGCACGTGTCGGCGCGCGCGCGGGCCGCGGCGCCAGCGCCAGCCGCGGCGCGGGTAACGCCACCCGGCAGCCACGCCGCGTGGCGACGTGCCGTAGCAGCACGGCGCCGGGCGTCCGAACCTCAGTCGGCAGCGGGGATTCGAGGAAGGCTCACTGCCACGTGAACTTCGACGTGGGCCTCGCGGTGGTGAGAAGCCGGCAGCACCCAAACGACGCCATGGCAAGCACCAACACCGACCGAAGCATCGACGCCACGAGCAGCACTGCGCCAGCAGCGCTACACCAACAGTCCTTTGAGGACACACAGACCCAATACGTACCTTACGCGGCTGGAACTCGTATTTAACGCAGTGCTGGAACCCCTTGCCCTTGATCTTCATGGCAGTGAGCACCAGACAGGAGCCGACGAAGTGGGCCGAGTAGCCGATGCCCTTGCTGGTCTTGAAGCTGTACAGGTAGGGCTTCTCACGCTCAATGTTGACCGAGTTGATGGGGTCCAGTCGGAACCAGCAGGCGAACGTCCAGCCGCTTTCGTACGGCCACCGCGCCAGCGGCGGGATCACGATCGCCTGCGGCAGCGGGGTCACGGGTCACCGCCGGGCGTGCCGCCAGGTCGCCAGCCCGCGCCACCGCCCCATCGGCGACGGCCGCCACGCCGCGCCACACCGAAACGAGGGCGGAGCGCTCGCCGGCGACCGGCGCCAGGCCGGCAAAAACGGCCGTCCGTATTTCCGCAGCTGCCGTCGGACATTTCCCAGCGGCGGCCGTGCCGTCGGCCGACCCAGCTCGCGGACGTTGCCGACAAAAGCGCGGGGACGAGCACATCAGGAGGTTGCTGACGCTGGCCTGGTGCCGTCCGCCACAGACAGCGCCGGTGGCGACTGCGATCCGCATGGAGGCCGCGCCGCGCCGGCCGTGTCGGGGGAGTGGAAAAGTGTTCCCCGAAACGGCCCCACCGAGAGCCGCAAAGGGAAGCGTTGGCATGCCCACTCCCAAACGACCGCCGCGCCGCTCCATTTGGGGACCAAGCTGTTGCGGAGTTGATTCAGGTGGTCAGCGAGCTCACCGAATTCAACGGACAAGGTTCACCGGGCTCACCAGATGGCGAGGAAGCCGACTTTACTCTCCCGAGATCCGCAATAAGCTCAACTAAACTCGCTGACCGGGTCCGCCGAAGGGCGAAGTTGAAAAAAGAGAGAAAGTCATCGGGCCGTCCTCGCCGGGGAGACAACTCACCGAGTTAGTTTTGCCGGGGAACATGAAGAAGGTGTCCGGGCTGCTGCGCTGCGGCATCTGGCGCAGCACCGTCAGTAGCTTGCTGGAGTGGCGCGGCTGCAACGGCGCGCACAGACGGCGGTCACGGGGCAGAACATGACCCGGACGGGCGCACGGCACGGGAACAGACTGCCCAGTAGGATAACAAAGACAGTAGGATAAACGAGGCTATACCGCCACGACTGACCAGCACCTTGGCAAGCCGGGAGGGTGCTGAACGTGGTCCACCAGCGCTGCGGACTGGTGCAGGGGGCAGGGAGGCGGACTGACATGGCAGCCGCGCCATACACGTCAGGGCGGGACAGGACGATCGTTGTGCACCCCTCAGGTTACGTCGAGGAGCACGGGCCATCTTGGCCGCCATCTCGGGTGCCAACATGGTCCTTACCGGGCTATTTACCCAAGCATTATTCAAGCGACGAGAGCGCCTTGCAGCGAGATCTGAAATCCAGCAGGCGCCCACAGCCGCCCTCCGTTTATCTATTTTTCAGTGGCGTTACGGTTTGGAGTAGGCCAGGTATGGCCCGTGAGCGAGAGCTGACATGTAACAACATTTACGAACTTCTGGTAGAGAGGCTGGCTCCATCATAAACGCATTGTGTGTTCGCGATAAGCTGCGCTGTTTGACATCGCGTCCGCAGGCGCGTTCCATTACGGCTCGATAGAGACGAAGGCCATGTATGTTGACAGAGACCCAACCCCTTCCATGACAGGCACGACACAAATAACTAACAACGCCGTTCCAAATGCCCACGACGTGCTGCAGCTTCCGCCTGTCACGCGGCAGACCCCGGTGACCGTTATGAAAAGCCCCGCTGGATTGATATGTCGGAGCCGCATCGGCAGGCAGATTTGTGATCATTGGCTGGGCCTCGACTGCGTTGCACCCGATCGAATATTGATCAGCCAATCGCCATGGGTGCGGCGAATTACGCTCTCAGAGCGAGGGTCACGGCGCCCCGGGGAGCCCGGTCGTCCGGGACGACCGATCGCCGGCCGGCCGTGGCCGGCAAACCGTCCATCCGGGGGAGGGGCGCACCCACCAGCGGACCAATCGATCACCACCCACACACAAACCACCCGTCCATGGGTGAGGATGGCCGGCCGGACACGTCACTGACCACAGGCCGGGCCAACAAGCCTGCCTGACAAACCTCACCAATCGCCCGTTATCGCGAGGCCTTAGAGACGGGTCGACCCTGGGCGACCCGGCCTCCCTTCCTCCCCTCCCCATTACAGTGCCGTCCGAGGAGAGGCCGGCCGCGCGGCCCTGCTCGCCGTCGAGCCCGGCCGCCTGCGGGCCGCGCGCCCCCGCCCAGCTTTTGGCGCGACCGAGACCGTGACGCGCGCTTTCCGCCGGATTGCGTTCGCGCGATTAACGCGGGCGAGCCGGCAGTTCCGCGCCGCCTCCGCACGTCCTGGGGCGGGGCGGAGCGGGAGCTAACCCTCCGCTCCGGGGCTCTGGGGCGCCAGGGGCAGTGCGAGGCCAGTGCAGCGACCCGCAGGGGAGATGCGTGAGGCGCGTCCGTATCGAACAGACGCGTCAGCTGAGGAACAGGCTGCACCTCGCGCCCGTTGCCGGGCAGGCTTGTTGCTGTTGTCACTGGAGCTTTGTGATGCGGTCAGCGCTGACGCTGACATGACGTCACCTGCCCCTCGCCGTGGCAGGGAGAGCGGGCGCAGCGGGGAGCAGGATCCTTTCCTCCGGTTTCTCGGACGTGCAGCTCAACCATTACGCTACAGTCACCTCTCACTAGGCTGGGTTATCATGCGCGGCTGCGTTTTGTTACTTTTCGAGTTGTCGTTTTTTAACAGAACGAACTACTGTTTTAAACAATAACCAAGTGGACACAAAACCAGAATGGAGGAGTAATGTCTTGCCAGCATTCAGCAACGCAACACTCCCAACAGGACTGTGCGAGCAGCCTGCCTGTTCCGCTGGTCTCGTGCTGGCTGCGTCCCTGATTGACTCCCCTGGGACGCATCCACAGTCGTACGCAGCCCCCGTGGCGGCAAACGGTGTGCGACCAACGCGTGCAATCTCAGGCCAACAAAATGCAGGCGCAGCAAGCATGCTCATTGCGCTCCCTTTTCACCCAGATCCCACACTTCAAGCTGTAAAGCAGAAATCAGCAGGGAATTTAATGACTGCTGCGACATATTCCAACGCCATAAACAGTCCAGTACCATAACATTGGCTACACAAGTTTCCGCCAAACTCTTGGCAGTCTAGGCGCTAAGCCAAAGACTCCGTCGCCTGGCAGCTCCTATTTCGACGTGAGCGCGGTACGGTCGATGTTCGAGTCCGGGATCTGACAAGTCCACAGCGAGCCACCGTCCGGACCGGGCGCCCTGACCCTACGCGGCGAGCAGGCCGGGCGCGAGCTCCGGGGCTCCTCCCCGGCGGCCGCAGGTCGGGCCACGTACGGCCCGCGCACAGCGCCGCCGACGCCACCAGCCTTCACGCCAGCCTCAACCTTCACACCGGCGACGACGCTACGGTCAGCGGGTGACACCGAGCCGCCAGCCAAGAGTGCAGCCCGCCCGACGCCTGAGCACCGGTGGAGCCCGACCCGCCAGCGGAGCGCGACCGATCACGGGCGTTCGGTCTCGACCGAATGTTTCGATGTGGCAGAGGCGGCATAGAGGATGCAATTCGCAGTGGCCATGCGACAGAAGCATATTTCCACGATTTCAAAGGCGCCTCCTTCTCAGAGGACAGGTAACTTCGGTGCATAGGCCGCGAAATAACAACATTCGAGCTAATGCTGACCAGATCTTTATCCGCTAAAAGCCAGCCAGCAATATGCCGTCTAAGGGAGACCCGCTGACCCCGTGTTCGCTTCTCTGAGCGATAAGGACGCCGCGGCCGGGCTATTCACATTAAGGCCTTTTTCGGAGCCAGGTCCAGGTCCAGGTCCAGGTCCAGGTTCAGATTCAGATTCAGGTCCAGGTCCAGGTCCCGAGGTTCAGGTTCAGTCCGAGTCCGAGTCCGAGTCCGAGTCCGGGTCCGGGTCCGGGTCCGGTCCGGATCCGGGTCCGCATCTACATCTGGGTTGGGTTCGGGTCCGGGTCCGGATCCGGGTCCGCATCTGCATCTGGGTGGGTTCGGGTCCGGGTCCGGGTCCGGGTCCGAGTCCGGGTCCGGTCTGCATCTGGGTTGGGTCCGGGTGCGGGTACGGGTCCGGGTCTGTATCTGGGTTGGGTCCGAGTCCGGGTCCGGGTCCGGGTCCGGGTCCGGGTCCGGATCCAGAACCAGGTCCAGGGCCAGGTCCAGATCCAAGTCCAGGTCTGGCACGGCACTGTGCGTAGTTCCGTTCCGTCCCGTTCCGTTCCGGTCCGGTCCGGTACTCGACAGACCACACGCCTCATCGTCGGACGCGCGCCCATCCGTCGTGGCTTCGTTTCCCATTACTGACGTGTCACAGCCGCCAGCGAACCCATTTGTAATGAATGCCTTCCATCTGGCTCCGCGGTGGTCTGGGCATCTCTGGAGGCCAGACCTGAGGCTGCTGTCACAGCTGCGTGGCTTTTATAAGTGGCTCTGCCGCACTCCGCGGCCCTGATTTCCACGCCTTCGGCTCGCTCCCTTTGGACTGAAAGCTGATGTGCTGGATGCTGCCGGGACAAAGACCGATCACGTTTCAAATACCCGTCGAAATTTCTGAAAACGCGTAGCTGCTAATCGTGAAATCGCAGGTCACGGGGTGTAATATACACCCTGGGAGCTACGATTTCACGACAACAGCTGCCAGTATTTAAGAACCAGACGCCTCTCCGACTTAATCAAAATTCATTGCAGCGCTAGCGGGTCTTATCGCCGGTGTATACGAAGTCCGCGCCTGTCCGCTGATGAATTCGCTCATCTCCGGCCACGCCCACTAGCGCGCCGCCGCTGCTGGTCGGCGCCAGCTCCAGCGCCGTGGCCCGCTGCCGGCCGGCCACGCGGCCGCGGCCGGCCCCGGCTGTACCGGCCTCATCGCCGCTTGCTGGTCGGCGCCAGCTCCAGCGCCGTGCCCCGCTGCCGGCCGGTCACGCGGCCGCGGCCGGCCCCGGCTGCACCGGCCTCAGCGCCGCTGCGCCCGGACCGCCGCCGCACTCGACGGGGGGGGGGGGGGGGGGCTCTCAGCTGAGTCTGAGTCATCCCGCCGCTGCTGCAGTGCACCTTGCCGCCCTCCCCCCCCCCCCCCCTCCCCCTCACTAAACCGCCGCGCCTGACCCGGGGTGAACTAAAACATTAGGATCCGCACATGATCAAAGTGAGTTGTCTGCCACTGAGCATCTGAGCACTTGTGACCGTCCTCTTGCAGACCTGGAGATCGACGTTTTTCGAACTAGCTTAGACGCAACATGCACAAACTGCACGTCATCCGCTTTCGCATTTGTTTCGGAGAGACCGCAACAGTATAAGCCTTTACTCCCAGAACTGCCCAGCTAAGACTCAACTGACGGCCTGGGGAAAATTATCGGCGATATGCTCTACTGAATTTGACAGCCGACGAGCCAAACTTCTCCACCTCATGGGACCGGTCCATATCGTCCGTCCAAAGCGGTAGCACTTCGTGACCTTTTCAAACCAATTCGAATGCCTCTGACAGCCTTTGGGAGGGTTTCAACGTACTCCGTCCAGATACTTTGTTGAAGAAATGCAGGCCAGCACGGCTTCCAAGCGTTGCCTTAGGGCTCGTGTATTTCAGGACGGGTGTCCTACACGCGAAACAGAGCTTGAGACGCGCACCCCACCACAAGCATGAAGGCAGTGGAGTTTCCGTTCGCCGACAAGTTTACCCTAACCTTTAAACGTGGAGGAGCGGCTTCGCCCCCCCCCCCCCCCCCCCCCCCCACTCGATTAGTACAGGCTGTCTCCACCTATATTTCTGGCGGAGTCTCGTCCATCTGACTATGCCATGTACATACAAATGTTTCACTACCACAGACATACATCCTTAGCCCTCCACCGACTCAGACTCGTTCAGGGTCAATCCACGGGTAAGTAAAAAGTAAACTCCCAACATGGCGGTGCAGGCGACGCCTGGCGCATGCTCTGGGCGCCGAGTGCAGAGTCGCCGGAGCTCCGCCGGTCCCGGCCGCCCGGCGCGGGCGGCAGCCGCGCCGCGCCGGGGGCTGCCACTCACCCAGGCGCCCGTGCCGGCCTTCATGCTGCCCACCAGCACCTTCAGCTGGCTGACGGTGACGTTGTAGGTGGCCAGGGTGCCCAGCAGCTCCACCAGCAGGTCTGCCGGCGCGAGGGATGGCGGACGTTACCGCGGCCCCCTCGCAGACGACACGCGACATGCAACGGCGCGGGACCAACGTTCGCCCACAGCCCATCCAGTTTGAACCACTACGACTTCCGACAAAGCCGGCATTGAATCAAGGAGTCCCGCTTCGGCTTAAAACCGGGGTGTCAAGGTTCGAGTCTAGCCTGATTCCAACTAAAGCAGATGTTGTGCTCACATCCGGAGTCAGCTCCAAAAGGGTCGACTTCAGAGGCAACATATTGACACATGTTCTAGGCCACGAGTCTGGACTGTGCTAAACATACTAACGTATATTCAAAGCTATGAGTCTCGACTGTACTAAATTCAATCCATTTTTTAGACGATCCCGAGCCCAACCACAACCGAACGAAGGTTTAAAACACCCCTCATGGTGCCAGGATAACCACGAACACTCCCATTTCCGTGCCACGTCATGGCGTGCTCACGGCCCATCCGGGAGGCAGTACTCCGTGACCTGGCCCGCGGCCTGACGATCCCCGCGCCGTCCGCGGCCGGCCGGAAGGGTCGTCGTCCGGCACACTACCCCCAGCGCGAGAACGCACAAACGCCCCCAGACGCCACTGAGTGCCCGCCATCAGCGGGCGGCAGCGGCCGCCGACCGTCGGCGCAACGGGCCGCCGAGCACGGCTGCTCTATCACGCGGCGGCTAAGTGCCATTACACGGACAACACGAAGGCAGTGGCGAGCTTGCAGCGCTTTCCAAGGCGACCTCCGGACGGCGCGCTCCGGGGTCCGGCGGCCGCCGCTCCGGGGTCCGGCGGCACGCTTCAGGGTCAAGCGGCATGCTCCGGGGTCAGGCGGCATGCTCCGGGGTCAAGCGGCGCGCTCCCGGGTCAGGCGGCGTGCTCCCGGTCAGGCGGCGCGCTCCGGGGTCAGGCGGGGCGCTCCGGGACACGCGGCGGCCCCGACTACTGGGCGGTGCGGGTGGTGCACCGCCAGCGCATAGCTCGACAGGTTGCGCACTGCCCGTCTTCCGCTGGCCGCACACGACTGATAACCATGAGATAGTCAGCAGGCGTGTCGGATAGCCCAGCTACCACACCGAATGGCGAGCATATGGTTTAAATCACATCAGATGGAGAAGCCTAATGATGGGACACGACTCAAACGCAGCGTAGAAAGGGCGGTCTGCTGTTGGACTGTCAAAACCCACGGGATTTTATCCCCAGCTTCCTTGCCAGACGGTAGCTTACACAACTTCTGGTGAACTGCCGCATGGTACTTACCGTACGACCGCTCCGTGAGTTCAGACAGTAAAATGTCCCATATTTGGTATGCCTTTTAACCATCCAAACTTCAGATTTATTTTATAGATAAAAGTTCTTTAGCTAATCATTTTATTTAGATAATGAAGAAATATAGATAAAATTAAGATTTCTACGCTTTCGTGACTGAGAAATTTTTGCTCTCCCATCCAGGAGCCTCACTCCCGCCACACAGATTCCATCGTCTAGCACTTTTAGAATGTCACTGGACATACCTACGCGACTTAACGCAAAGAGAGTTTCCATCCCAAATTTCAAAATCCACCACCTGAACGCCAGAATATTACCCCCCCCCCCCCTCCCGCCCGCACCAAAACCCAAAACGCCAACCCGTGAAACAACACCGCCCCGACGATGACACCACGCGCCGACTCCTGTGAAAATGTCCTGTCATTGATCGCGTATTCAAACATGCAAACAAGATAAGACGAGTGCTGAGAGTTGCAGCGAGCGGGAGCGCGCGCCCGGGGCGGCGGCAGTCGCGTACCCGCCACGACGGTGGTCGGCCTTGGGCAGCCGCCAGCAGCACGTGCTCGATGAGGCCGACCTCCACGCAGGCCTGCATGTCCGCATGGACTTTCGCAGGATGCAGGTGAACACGCTCCAGATCTCCGCCTGCACGCACGGGAACGGCCGGCGCCATGTTGGAATCCCAGCTCAAGGCGCTCGTGATGGAAGTGGACGCAGTTCGGCGAGGCGATCCCGATGGCGCGGGGGACAGCGCACGACCGGAGGGTGACGGAATGGCCACAAGATGACACAACACACGTATCTGCAACCGTCTCCGGGAGCAAAGACTGCTATTCGGAGGAAAATAAACCCGGTCAGTCGGCGGACAACCACTGAACGACAACGTAAAACAGTCGCCTGCGTTCACGGCATCCAGCTAATTTGCAGCGACAAGCGAATGACCCGCTAAAGCAGCCGCCAGACAAGACTTGTCGGTTATAGCGCCACACTAACTGATTACTCTAACAACTCTAACGCACAATTTACGTACTAGTCACTAAATTGATCACGGCCTCTTGCTAGTCAGTCAAAAAACAATAACTGAGATACAAACCTGCTTGCAAGTGTCCCCAAAACCAAAAGCAGGGGCCCACATCAACGCCCGTTTTGGCGCAGAACTAAGAAAAAGTACCCAATGCCACCGGCTACACGTGCTGAACTCTTCGTCACATTTTCAGATATGTACCTGACCGTCAATCGGGCCATCGCACGCCGAGAGCAGGCGCCAGCCAGCCTTCCACGACCAGGCCTACAGGATCCAGAGCCCCACGGGAGCCGTGGCCCGGTCCGGCCCGGTCCGGCCCGGTTCGCTGCCCGGGGCCCTCGCCCCCCGCCCCCGAGCCTTCCCGCCGACACTCACCTGCAGCTTCACCGAACAGTGGTCCAGCACCTCCAGCATGTGCAGGATGTTGCCGGCGTCCTGCACACGAAGTTGAGCTCCATGTCGAATCACCACCACCAGCTGCAAGGGCAAGGCGCGCGTCAGTGGCAGGGCGGTGTGCGCGCACCGCGGGGGAGGCTGCAGGTCACGTGGGGACAGCGGTGCCTGTGCAGACATCGGCATCCCGCAGGCATGCGGAGGCGCAAGGCCATGGTCACAGCGGACTCATGAACACATCGCAGTCGTCAGTGAGCTACGCAGGTAGACGACGGCTGAATATGGGCACATCGCAGCCGTCAGGAGGTACACAGGTAGACAACGGTTGAATACGGACCGTCGCAAGTCGTTAGTGAGGTACACAGGTGGAAGACGGGCTGAATATGGGCACATCGCAGTCGTCGGTGAGTACACAGGTAGACGACGGTGAATACGGACACACGTCGCAGTCGTAGTGAGGTACACAGGAAGACGGCTGAACAGGGACACACGCAGTCGTCAGTTAACTACACAGGTAGAAGACGGCTGAATACGGACACATCGCAGTCGTCAGTGAGATACACAGGTAGACGACGGCTGAATACGGACACATCGCAGTCGTCAGTGAGCTACACAAATAGACGACGGCTGAACATGGACGCATCGTAGTCGTCAGTGAGCTACACAGGTAGACGACGCTGAACATGGACACATCGTAGTCGTCAGTGAGTTACACAGGTAGAGTGCAGCAGCGCACAGCCAAGTTACGGTTTCACCATCAGTCATGGACAGGCATCAGTGTTGGGAGGCGCACACAGACAGTTTCCCTGCCTGCAGCCCCATTAACACGCGCTCGGGGAGGGGGGGGGGGGGTAAATTGACCCTCCCAAAGGTTTTCCAGCATATTTTCCGAACGGTGCGGCGTAGCCGCGCCAAATTTTGCACAGCTGTAGATAATTGAGTTGCGCATAGTTTGGTATAAATATTTAGCTGCGCCTTGTAACGTCGCTGACCTACGAAAGGTCAAACTCACGCCAGGGATTCAGCGAGGGGCAATGTCCAGGGAATCGCTAAATCCGATGCGACAACGAAGTGTTAGATGAAGTCACACATCTCCGAGATACTTTTTGGGCAACACTACAATTCAATGATCACATTCCACTGACCTAGGGTCAGGTATAAAGGTCAGACTAAGTTCAAAACGAGGTCGTTTAGTACTCTAGTTCTTTGCCGCATGGATTAGTTTCTGATACTCATTCTGAATTTACTGATAACAGAAACCGCAATTTCACATCTTCCGTGGACTTTTAAGGATCAGAATAGGTCACTAACCTAAAATGGCCTACGTTAACATTTTGTTTTTAGGAACATACCGCCTAGCATAATCTTTGGACGCTTATTCAAACGCAAAACTCAAAGTAGTTTTGCATGATTTTAGTTACCATGACCTTCTGGGGCATGACCTTGTTTGGCATTATTTGACCACGAAAATCATGACCTAAGAACCTTAAAGTTTCGGCACGAGTGAGTTTACATACAGGCTAACACACGCCGCGAATTTGGTGTTTCTAGTTTCCTGAAATCTCAGGGGACTTCAAAAACTGGCCCCCCCCACCCGAGCAAAGGGTATTCAACCGGCCACCCGGGCGTGAGTTAACAGATAAGCACATAACCAACGAAACGTGGACAGATACAAGTGTCTTGATTGACACAAGGGTTCACACCAATCACCGTCCATACAAGACAGACAAACGATCAGATTGAAAGACGACAAACAACATGAATTACGGCAGGGATTAACCATGTGATTGCAGTTTTACTAATGGACAATGTCTCACTTTTAATTGCAAGAGCTTGATAGTTTGGCAGTACACTACGACACTATAGCAAGGCGCTTAAAGCAAGGGCGCATGCGCAATCGCTGGGCTCCTTAGCAACGCAACGGGCAGACACAAGTTATAAGCGGCGACACACAAACACAAACCCATTATAGTGAAACAGCGAACAGCCATGATAACGACACTGGACATCCACCACAGTCGCAATCCCGGTACATGTCAAGACACCTAAGCGCACTAAAGACAAACCGAAAGGCACTAGTTACAGCAGTGGACACGCGGTAGATAAGAGAATCGTTGAGTTTTGGTTCGGTGTCCTAGGTCAAACAGAAGAAATCGCGAAGTCGCAGTGTAAAAGTCGAATATTCAGAAGTAAAAAGATACTAGCCATCATATTTCATTTATTTCAGGTCTTTCGAAATTCTGAAACGGGTCACAATTGCTATCTCAAAGCATCTGAAATCACACAGTACATCTGAACTCAGTAATGTGTGGTATATCGAGGCAATAAGCAGTGCGAAATCTTGGTTAAGATGTCGGGATATTTCGCTCGATGAAAAAAAGATATCCAGCGACACGTCATCCTGCAACACGGCACGGAAAACACCAGCTACAGCGTAGACACGACCTGCACCCGATAAACGCTCCAGCACACTGTTTAAGAGTGCAGAAAAACGACCTCAAACCAGCCACTGAGCCGACACACGGAAGGCACCAGTCACGCTCTGGACACACAAACACGTACCGATCACAGCCTGAGGATATGGCCACCGCCGGCCGCAGTGCACATACAAAGACAGACATCGATATTGATCACAGCCCGGTCGCACAGACGGCAGCAGGCCGTCACAAACCCTTACATAACCGCACGAGCTGTTACGGCACCCAAAGCCAACAGTATCGCCTAAATTACCGGCTGTCAACAGCACCTTTGAGGCATTGTCCCTCTGGATATTAGCCACTTACGGGCTGTGTCATAGTGCCACGGGCTCCAACATCAATATGGTTCAAGCAATTTGAGAAGCAGATTGATTTCGTCAGTTTGCATATGCTAGAGCAATTGCCCTAAATACAAAACTATCGTGGCACTCGCCACGCTGACCACTCAAAACAGAAGCAGCGGCATTTCCTGTTTCGAAATGACGTCAAATAGACCATTTGCTAGGGTCTGCCTGGGACCAGAACCCTCCGTAGTCATATCTCGTCACGGGGACAACGAACCTGATACAAAGTGGTGAAATACTGAAAATCCCCAGACCTATCATCCAAAGAGCAGAGTGATGGCAGAGTAGTCGGTGCCTTCGCCTCCCGCAGGAGCCCCGGATTCAAAACCCGGCTGCGCCTTGACTCATGAGCACTATTATGATATCTACAGTCGCAGACGCTTTATAACACGGTGCATAACGACATGTTATTTCTGCATGCCTTCGCATGCAGAAATAACAAAAGGTAAGCGGGTACTTCTAATCCGTACTTGCCCGCCATGGCGCAGCCTGCATCGATGATGTCTTCCCCTCATCCTCTGCGAAATATCCGCCTTAGCTGGGAATCGAACCCACGTCGTGATGCGACTCTCAATGCCTGCGTCTCCCATTCGCTACGAGGTGCGACTGGACTGCTATCCACCGCGCCACCCGAGCAACGGCACAGCTTTGCAGGTCTTCAAGCTCGGAATGCCGGCCAACGACTTCGAATGTCATGTGACCGATCCATCCTCGCGTTACGCACGTCGCGCAAACGTATGGTCATCAGATATAGTGATGATGATGATGATTGCAGCTTTGCTGCGCGCCGACGGCGAAGGCTATGTTGCGCCCGTCATCAGGTATGTCCCACGTTTGGCTGAAGCCATAAGAATAAGTGATAATGATCACCTCTTTCAAACATGTTCTCAAAGACCATGTCTTGCCCAATTTAAGCAAGCCTTTTTAACAGTCTATGCCAAAAACATAACGTTCCAAGGCAATTTTGGCATATGATCTTCTAGAAGACGACTTGTCGCATGCTTTTTAACATTTGGCTCGCCCAGTCCCATTGACAAGGATTCTCTTTTTCTATTTCTGTTCTGACCTGGCTCATTTGACCAAGCAACTATTCTATGAAGGCTGACTCCAGTAACGTTCTTCACGTCATTCCACTTGTCTCCCATCAAGGATGGCCACCTCAACTATGGCGTCACAATAAAAACCGGGCGATCCATCCAAGCAGAGACAACCAGCCCGCACGGTCCCAGCATCCCAAAATAGTTACAAAACAACTGCTGGATATCGTCCCGTCCGCCAGGCTGGTGATGTTGCCCACTGGCCTT